ACCAATCTTAGTACGAATCGAGGGGCTTTTATTAAGCAAATAAAGCTATGCGATTTAAATATAAGAAGATGACGAGTCAATGCTTCAACAGTTATTCCAAATGTAGATCCTAAAATCTTTTTCGTTTACGCACAAAGAGGATAAAATATTTTCCTCTGCCTTCTATAATGTGAGGAAATGTCAACAGCAGCTTCTGTCGAACAGCGAAATGTTGTTCATGTTTCTGAAATATTCCACGTCACAAGATTAAATATTGAGACAATTGTGACGTTGCTGGTTCTAATGCGTCGTTCATTTTCGTTTCTCTCTCGCCATACTCCTTTGTTAAGTTTTCTTTCCAATTAAACATGTTAAAGCTTACTACCAAATTGAACACCTTAGGCTTGAGTTCATCAACCTCATTGCCTTCAATTTTGATTGCATACTTTAGCCCAGTGAGTCGCTTGCGGAGATGCACTTCGTGTGTGCTCCGAAGCGTTAGGCGACCGAGCAGTAAAAACGAGTGACAAAGCCGAGGACGATTGTGAACACCATACACATATATTTTTATCTTTTTTCAGTACAGTTGGTTAGAGTACATTGTTTGGAAATTTTTCCTTTCAGAAGACAACCTTACCCAACTTGGCTCCTTTAAGATTAGAATTCCCATAGGAAATCTTCTTATCATTGGGATCTAATTACTTCTAAAAAATTTCCGAGATAATTTTTAAATAACAAACTAACAGCCTATAATTTCGTACACTTTTGTTACAAATGAGTAAAGTGGAGGAAAGCACTGTTAGAAGTTCCCTGACGGGGATCAGGATCTGTGGTTCAAAATATTCCCTTCACGCTATTGTATTCATAAAGGAATACTCAACTGAGTCTCGAAAACAATCCAGGGTTACCTCGTTTTTTAAAGTTCTCTGCGCGATTGTTTCAGAAAACTCATATAAATTTATCAACCAGTCAGATTCAAGACTAAAGCCAATCGCGTCTTCGCCACCCGCGTTTTCCCGCGCTTCAGTAACAGTAATTTGCCTGACTGTTTTTTGCTTTGACTTCATCGATATTTTCCTTTGTTCAGTTTGGTTGTTGTAATTACTTTGGTGTTGCTATTACGACACTTAATCGTAATGTGCTCTATTTCCATCTAGCAAAAAATGGACTGTATCTGATTAAATGGACAATTAATGGTTTTTCTAATGGTCTAAATTCACTAACGATCGTAATCTCCGGTGCAGCCGTTCTTTGGGATGAGAGGAACCTTACAAGACATCCCGACGAATGGCTACGAAGGAGACTGTAACAATTGCTGTTCGCTACGTTTTGACTGCCACGAAGCCAGTCAATAAAACTATTCCTTTCGATAAACAAAGTCACTGCAAAGTCAAAATAGTAAGACAAACAATTGGACGATTTCGTATCTATATCACTCTAATGAGAACTAAGAACATCTCTTCTGAGAGTAAAACATCTTACAAGACAAGCGAAATGCAACTGGGCTCAGTTCTAAGCAGATTCCTCACTTTGTAGATGAACGGAAAAGCTTAAGGCCTTCCATTTTCCAGTCACTGCCGGTCAAAGCATGACACAGATACTTCCTTCCTTGAACAGTTATACTTGAATTGCCTCTAAGGTCTAAAATGCCTAGTTTGCAGTTGGTATCAGTCAGTGCATTACACAAGTGACTTATTCCTTTATCGTCAACACGATTATGTCTGACGTTTAAGCCAGACAACTTGGATGCACTGCTGGTGAGTGCTTTACACAAGCGCTTCATCCCTTCGTTTCCTATGTTATTACCACTAACATCTAACAACGTTAATTTGCAATTACCCGAGGTTATTGCTTCAGACAAGAGTTTCATCCCTTCATTTCCAAGAGAATTGACACACAAATCCAGCCTGGTTAACTCGCAGTTAATGCTGGTTAGCGTTTCACAAATGTGCGTGATTCCCTTATCCCCAAAGTGATTGCCACTGACATTTAAACTGGTTAATTTCTTGCAATTTCTATACGCTATTGCCTTGGACAAGTGCTTGATTCCTTGTTGCGATAAACTACTGAAAGAGAGGGTCAAGCTGTTTAGATCACTGCGACTGAGAGCTACGGATAAGTTCTCCACACCTTCATCTCTTATCGGACTCTCGGAGAGGATTAATTTTGTTATTTTCAAGGGAGGAGAGGACTGGGAGATTGCCTTACAGAGTATGACCAAATCACGGTCTTCGTCAGTTGGCCACCAAGTCAATATGCCTGACTGCGAACTATAACACAATGGAAGGCCAATTCCCTCATCATCTTGTGCACCAGCTACGCTGCTAAATGGATTTTCAAAACGAGGAAGCCCATCCAAGTACTCCAAAACCACTCGCCATTTTCCTTTTCTGATGTGCGAAGTGAGTAATGTATCAAGACCTTCTTCTTCCTCAGCTTTTCTGCCTCCTTTGACTCTTAATGGGACTGTCGAATAATACAAATATATGAAATATTAAACTTTTACTTTTAAGACTTTGAGTTTGAGACGAAAAAAGATCCATTAAATAAAATTCATGACAAAGTTTGGCTTCAACATTTTCAGGAAACTAAATTTGATTTGACAAAAATTCCCAGTAATAAGAAAATTTTTTCTTTTCAACATTATAGAATTACTCTTTAGAATCCTACCACCTTCGTTCTCATCGTTGAGATCAGTGGTGGAAAATACAGTAAAAGGTGAGGTACCCAAGAAAAAAAGCACACAGACACATTAGCTGTCATTATCCTAATGTAAAAAAAAAACCTTTCCAAAACGTTACTGACATGTACGCTTAACAACGTTCCATTTTCACATGTCTCAGGGATCATCTCACAACACATGACTGGCACTAAAGCCTAATTAAATAAATAATCGTCTTGTAAATGCAAAGAGTCTCATTTGTCCAATACAGCATCCATGAAACAGGTGGATGTAATGAAGTTAGAATTGTTTAATCCACCAATGATATTGCCAACTCAAGACTATCTTTATGAAGAATAGAACGAGGAAAAAAATTGTATAGAATACTGTGTGATTTTGTTTTCTACATTAAATTACTAGAAAAAATTGCTGAGTACAGCTGTACTGAAAAGCTGAATCAACACTCCTTTATGCAGGATAGTGGGAGAAAAAAACTACACTGGTATTAATTCCTTAGCAAAATATCACCTGACATAAGATCTGAAAGCACTCTAAGTTTTAAATTTACTTTCTTCCCAAGCAGGCAAAATCTGATATTCTCTTTCTTCTTGCAGTTTCATTGATTCAAAAAGGTCTTCTGGTTTTCTTTCAGGACCAGAGGTGTACAATGCAGCAGAGTGCGGAGTACCTTAGAGCAAAAGTGCACATGGAAAATTTAGCATTTAATGCCCCAGTTCAATCAGGCTCTTTATAAGTTGTATCAGCAAGTTGTATCATCAAGATCATTAAAATATTAGTGAACTGCAACAGCTTATTCTTGATACCTGACAGAAATACAATCACTGTTCAAAGCAACTTTTCACTAAAAGTAAACAGTTTCCATGGAAACCAGAAATATATATATAATTTTCTGGTTTGCTTTCTCAACAAACAAGTTTAAAGATTTGGTGTTTACCTTTAGATTTCTCTGGCTGCCCAGCCTCTATCTCCTGCTCCCATCTCTTAACCTGTTCTTGTTTCTGCCAACCTCCAGTGATGGATCTTGTCAATTGGGGCTGAAGGGCTACATCTTCTTCTCCAGGATTAGTAGCGGAAAATGAAGATGAAGGAAAGGCTACAAACAGAGATATAAAGCATTTGACAAATTTGACATTAACAACAAGGATGGTACCATGACACTAGGCTTGACATCTATTTGTGTCCAGAGAGCTCATCTCCCATACAGGGACAGCAATCATTTGCTCCATCTAACATAAATATATTTTTTCATACTTTGTACCAAATAAATATCATAACACTGTGATGATTCTTTAAATGTTCATTACATAAGTAGTTATTACTGCGACAAGTGGTTTTATCTGAACTGGGGCCTTTGGTTTATGATCTCTCTCTGCGAACCTGGTGGTGTTGTATGTTGGAGAGGAAACACTTTACTTCACAATCTAGCAAAAAAGATTTACAAAAGGACCAGGTTACTCTCTTGTTACTAACCTCTGTGTGCATCCTTTTTAAAAAGTGCTCTGCATGCATTGTACTCTCCCTCATCCATTGTTGTTTTCAGCTTCAGCTCAGTCAGGTTCAGTTCCTTCAAGATCTTCTCAGTGACAAAACAATCCTGAACCACCTTTTCCAAACGGCCATTTGAATAATCTTTCCACAATTTCTCCAAGCTCTGAGGAGAATGACACTCCACTTTTATCACCAAGCTTCCCACAGAAGCACCTGTGAAGACAATCTCCATTTCTTTCAAGTATTCTTTAAATTCATTATGCGCATCTCTAGACTGTGGTGGTGTAGTCTGAAGATAGTTTATAGCAATTAAACATAAGGCTTTTGCTTTAAGTGCTGGGAGATCATCTATTTCTGTATCAGATCTTCTTTTCCTGCATGTGCCTGATGTTGTTGTTGCCTTCTGACATAGAGCAGGCTCTGAAGCTGTGCTGTGCATATCTGGATCTGTAGTTTTCAGGTCTTCCACATCAACTTTGATATTTAATTTTGCATCTGTTGAATTGCAACAAATAGTCTAAGTTAAAGTTGTACTTCAAATTCACTTACACCCATTCAGTGCAAAGGACAGTGGATATTAATTATTGACCAAGGGTAAAGTCAGGATAACTGGAACATCTTGGTCCATAGAAAATGCAAAAAGAAGATGAGGTAAATAACCAGCTATCTTGACCAAACAAGCTAAAAGCTTGGTCAATAAAAGACTCAACATATAGCCAAAAGATTGTACTTGAAGAAGAATATCAGACTCAAGTTCAGGACTTGTTCACTTTTGAGTGCTGGGAAAGAAAGCCAACTGTGAAAGTCAGTGATAGTTTTTCATTTGACAAATTAAAAGTAAGATCATTTGATAGGTTTACAATGACCAAGATTGAGCATTCTAATTTTAATAAAAATAACAAATTGTGCAAGTTTGCTGCACCAAAATTTTTACTTGCTTGGGATCAACACTGGCAATCCCATCTTGCCCACTCTGGTAGTCAATCAAAACACAAGACTTGTTTCATATTGCCAAGGGCACTGCCTGCTTAACAATAAGTTAAATTTTTACTTCAAACATATCAGCTGACTGTGAATGTACAATCATTGGTGAAATTTTTCTGGTCAACAACAATGTTTCCCAACTAAAGAAGAATTTTGAAAGTGAAAAAGAAAAACATCACAATGCAGTTAGTAGGTTTATTAGAATTATTAGCTACATTTGATTCCAGTAACAACCAGACTTCCTTGCACTATCTACATGCATACACTTGTCCTCAACTTTGGCTCAATTGAACAGATCACAGATGCTAGATCTTAACTGCTTCTTACCCACCACATAAAAAGAAAAACATGGCATTTACCAGTACATCATATAAGCAAAAGTAAAACCAAATAACATACTGTACCATTTGAAGTTTTGACTATGTTCTTGATCATTTCTTTAAATCTCTCACATTCTCCACTCCAAGAGTAAACCTTGCTGTAGTTCTCTCGAAGCTTCATTGCATTGGTTTGTCGCTCCTCTGGACTTTGATTGGACAATTCTTTAATCCTTTGCACCCATTGTGTTGCATCATCATCATCTGATTCAATAACTACAGACTGTCCACCCTCTACTTTATGCAAAGCCTCTGCTATTCCTGATTCGGCAGAAACAAGGATAGGAACACCAGCAGAAATGGCCTCCAGGGCCACCAACCCAAAGCCCTCAGTACGGGAAGGCAGAGAAACCAAATCCGACTGATAGAACATCATCTTAAGTTCCTCTTGTTGGCTGCAATAACCACGGATGGTTAGTTGGTTGCGGTTGATGCATGTGTTGTCAAGAAACCACTGTTCCACTTTTTGGTGTTCACCAGGAGATGAACCAACAAAAGTCAGTTTGAACTTCTTACCAAGAGAACCGATGGCATTTGCAACTATATCGTAGCCTTTCAGGGAAAGATCCTCAAAGGTTGCTCGGCCAAACATAAACACATTAAAATTCTTAACTACTGTTCTGTCTACCACCAACTGGGATTTATTGGAAAAATTTTCAAAGATCCCAGGAGTAATAAGCTCCACTTTTACATTAACAAGACTTCTACTGTACAACTGTTGCAAGCGTGAGCCAACAGCGACAACTGCATCCGCTGCTTTACACAACTCAATTTCCATCTTGTGCTTCTTCTCGTTCTCTTCTATTGTATCTGTTGCAGCCACAGTTGTTTTCTTGTATTTTCCAAGGTCTTCGCAGTAGACATGGACATATTGTATCCATTTACATTTTGTAGCCTGTGCTAGGAAATACGCAGGACTACCCAGCTTTCTTCCATGGCCTATCACCAGATGTGGGTTTGGGAGCTCTGAGGGTGGAAACTTCAAGCACTCGAGGGGGTCGGCTGAACCAGGAACATTTCGAGCTGTGATTAAATTAACACCATGTTGTTTAGCATCTTTTCTGTCCCGATCATCGCTATTGGAGACATAGCAATGGATTTTCATGCTACCAGTCGTCGCTTGTGCCAAATTAATGGCAAATTCTCGATTGAAAGTTGATAATCCACCCTTAGAAGATTTCCATTCGTCGCAGAGAAACATGACATCAATAAGCTTTTGTTCTTCCTGCTCCTCTTCGCTATTTGTCGCAGTCCCAACTTCAGAGCACGCCATTGTGAGTTTTTTCACCCCTATTTTCAATGATCAATTCACTTCATTCTGCTACATATATTTACGACTGACTCCATTCTGCTTCCGCCTTAGGCAACTGAGCAGGTGCATAGGTAACTTTACATGTTCCTGTTGAGGTACCCCCTTGGAGCTACCGACTGTTTCTGAACTCCTTATGGCTCATAATTTTGTAAAAAACTAATGTAAGACCCTCTCTATCAGAGTCAAAAGTATTCACAACAACCGATTTTGCCAATGTAAATAGTCGCAGCTTTAGTTCGATTCGATAATTCTCAAGAGGTTCCTCAGTTGTGGGCACCTAGACGTGTGGGAGACTGGGTCGATAGAATCAAACATGGCGGAAGACTAGGCGAACAGGTTAAGGATTTTTTTTAAGGATTTAGACAAATTTGATGTTTTCTGTACACTAGAAATCATCGTCGAATGGATCTGTGTGATCCTGTTAGCATTATATTAGTGACAGCCGGTAGTAGAGGACAGAGTCTATTATTTCGTTATCCATATTTACTGCCTTCCCGGACTGAGAGGAGAGAAAAAGGTCAGCTTAATTCTAGTAGCTTAGACTATCTGCACAGTATGAAATGGCCATGTTGCAGGCGCATAAAAGCAGGCCTGAACAAAATTTAGCGTGTACAGAGCCATTTAAATTTTACAAGGAAAGAGCTTTTAAGGAAAAAAAATCGAGTACGTGCATTTGTCTCATTCTCCAGCTTTAGACTGTGTCACCATTGTAAGTTCTCAAAGTTCTTGGACTGTGCGCGCGAAACTAACCTTCAGTGCATCAATTGCCTTGCAGAAATCCCTAAGAATCGTTTCGCCTTGGGCAAAGTCGAAGAGAGTACGGACGTAAGGTACGCATTGCCTATTTAAGCACAAGTCAAAGTAAGCCCACCTCCATTCTTGGGATGGACTTGGGAGACTGGGGTTTACATTGTCTGGTGCAATAAGCACTTTAATATTCTTTGGCCTGGAAATAAAGACGAGGATTCTAGTTGTCACTTCTAGTTGCTCTTAATTACATGGGGAATTGAACACAGAGTCTTGGGAATCCTGGAAAGTCCTGGAAATCTGCCTTACTCAAGCAATAAAGTTTTCAAAATGTATATTAAATTAAATGATTGTAAGTCAGTGGGAAGAATTGATTTTGAAATCTTGGGAGTGAAAGGGTGTAAGGTGAAATTTGGAGTCCTGGAAAACCAATCTGAGTCTTAGAAAAGTCCTGAAAAAGTACATGAAAATTTCTTTCTTAAAAAGGGTACGAACCCTGTGAACACCATTTAGGAGGGTGGATAAGATTTAAATAGCATTCTCTTAATTTTTTGTTTTCTTCATAATGGTAAATTTTCAAAGTTCTTTTGATTTTATGGTTATGAAATTGGCATGGGTATGCAAGATCCCCAATAAGTAGAGCAAATGTTAAATTATCATTACCACACCTGACTGTGCTAAGATGTTTCTAAGGTTTGGTAAACTACCCAAAAACTGCCTAGGAATTTTTTGTCTCTTGGAATTTTATCATCTTATGCATTGCCTACATTTCAGAAATTTTTCCGGAATCAAAGATGGTTATCTCATTGGGTGAGTTCAATCAATAATCTAACTGGCAGGAGCTCTTCTTGTAGGTTTGGCTAAATCTCTATGTTATAGTGCCCCATTTCTAAAGTGGTTGGTTTTTTTTCTCTGACTCATCACTCATCAGTGTGACAGACTCAACTCAATCTTGTTAGTCTTTCAAAACAGAAATTTATGTTTTGAAGAAACTTACCATATTTTGATCTTTAACTTTAAAATTTTTGCTTGGCATTGTTTCTTTGCAGATTTTCTGACAGCACACTGGCAAATATTTTGTCACCAAAATCTAATGCATGTGGTAAGAAATTTGAGCTGAAGATTGATGAAGTGTTATTTGTGGGCCATCCAACACTTGCTTATGAAAGACAAGACAGAGAATTCAAGGTATCTGCCTATTACATTATTAATATCAATAACTAATAAGAACTAGTGGTTCAAAGCCAGAGTCTGATTTGTCAATCAAAATTAGGCTAACAGACCAAACTCAAAGTAAAGTCAAAATTCTTTCACTAAATCAAACTGTGACAAAATCAAAGAGACAAACACCCATTCATAAAATGCATACATAAATTACAATAAAACAGTTGCAAAAGGGGTTATCAAAAAGATTTGAGTAATGGGAATGTGACACATGCTTCCCTGCTGAAAATTGAGCCTCAAGTTTGCCAAATAGCTCAGGCCCCCCTTTCTTAGAGTAGACAGTGAAATGTGCTGGTTTCCAGCTTATTTTGACAACCATGCAGCTGCTGTTCTTTCATGTGAAAGTGAACCCAAAAAAAAGTCACTTCTGTAACAATGTCTACACTGTCCTAAAAGTGTTCAAAGTGAGTGGTTGATAACCAATCATGTTTAGGAATGTCCTTATTGTATTTAGAACAAACACAAGCATTTTTATTCAGGGACAAGGTAATTGAAATTTAGCCATTTTGGGTTAATTGAAAGTCATTTTGTGTAGCCCTGAAAAGTGGAAACACATGTGAAAGCTGTTATCAACAACAAATCACTTCTGATCAGTGGATCTAAGTATTTATTGTTAATCTTTAAGTTTTTTTGTCAATTTTATTTTATAGAGAAGTGATACCTCATCTAGGAAGGATGATGTCATGATGAAACTGTTCAATGTTGTCTTTGTACTCCAGGTGCAGATTATTTTATTAACATTTACATGTTTTTTACTACTTGCTATTATGAGTTATATAGAATTTCTTTCAAACAAAGCATCAGAACTAATAATCACTCCCAACTCCTATTGAAAGCACTAGGAGTTTCTTGTTTCTGAGTTAACAGGCTTAAAACATGTCTTCATAGTTTTTATCAGCATGCAAAATAAACTATCCTAAAGATTGTTCATAGTGTGACCTCAGCTTACTTAAAAGTTGTGAGTGGAATTACAGCATCTCTAAGTGACACCATCTCTATTATTTTTCCATTACTCTCCCTGAATGGTTATTAAAGAAAACAGCATTAACTGTGTATCATTTCTCTTATCAATTTTTTTAGGCAAGTGTAGAACCTTCTGTTGTTCACTGTTACCATGACTTATCCAAGAGAATAGCAATTGCCCTAAGGCATGAAGAGATAAGGTAAATTGAAGTCACAAACTAAGACAGATATAGGACATAAATTATGTGTGATGCCAGATTTGGTGAAACTGCTCTAATTTGTTTGCACAAAGACGTGAATCATGGATTATGTGTTAGATGTCATTTCGTTGCCTTGTGAATTAATGAATGAGTGGTACTGTATGACATAGTGAACAGTTGATTGTATAGGTTAGCAGTGCTCCCAATCAAGAGGATAAGGAACTTTGTTTCTTTTTTGTTTGGAATAAAAATGGGAATAAAAATGGGTACTAAGTAACACAGGGTTACCTGAAAAAGACATTAAGCAAAACTTCTTCTTGATTCATGCAATGAAAACCAGTCCAGCCATGAGAGTAACATGAGATCTACATCTCCTACAGTTATCAGTCTTAATAATATATAATGAAAAAGTTATGGGTGTCTGATTGGCTAAAAAAGAGTGCATTTTTCATGTAACATGAGTGCTAAGTTGTAACACAAGTGCAAATTACAAATAGTCTACACCCTGAAAGCATTTTGTTGCTCTTGACCTTCTGTGATGCATTTTTCATGTGAATTATTAACAATTAACAATATGATTTCTCATGCAATTTGGTGTAAATAAGCACTGGTAAATTTTTCAAAGACAACAAAACTGTACAATCCAGTAAGGTGAGTGCAATTTAGTTGTTGTATTAACACCAAATTGCATTAGTAATCATGTCATTACCCAAACTTATGATATACAAAACTTTGTTTCTTGCTCTTGTTTCTAGATGTAGATATTTGAGCTCTGAAAGGGAAATTATACTTTCTGTTCATGATGAAATGTCAGCCATGCCTGAAGGTATGACTTAGATAAATTCAGTTTTCTAGTTTGGATATGCATGTGTTTTCTTTGAAAAGGGTTTGTGTTTTAATGGGTTCCCCTTTTCCCTCCCTATTCACCCTGTTGTATCCCTGGGTATGGACATTTGTAACCTGCAGGATAAGTGTAATTTGTTTTGCTTCATTTTGAGAGGAAGGGAAGTAGGGGTGAGGCAAGTGCAAAGGGTAAGTCACACGTGAGATGAGCCAGGCTCCATTCCTTCCCTCCTCACCTGTGCTAAAAAATACCTAAAGTTATCTACAAGCTTTGACTTTTACCAGTGTATCAGTGTAACATCCCAGAGTATGTTGACCAAATATAACTAGATAACAACTCTGAAGAACACTGTGCTAAATTAAAATATAATTATCAGCCAGAAGTACACAATAAACAGAGGATTAAACCAATTTTTCAGTTCTTATTACAAGACCATTTTCAAATGGAACTTACACCTTCCTAGCTAGCTCTCCTTAAATAAAACAAATGTAGCTTAATGCTCTCCTACACTGTATCTCTGTTACATGCACATATAAATACTTTGTCAGGTTCATTCAATGTGTGTTAGGGACTCAACAACTATTATTTAAACCCAGCTAAACTTACCTCTAAAAAAACAGACTGCGCAGAATCACCATTTAAACACATCCTTCCCAAGAGCAAGCTGGCAAGGGACTTAAAAGATGTTTTTAAGAGGTTTGTCTACTTGCCATGTTTTTGTATGACAGATTAATAGTCCATTTTACAGTTGTGTGCTTGGTTGCCAAGCCTTTGAACAGGAGTGAGGCTGAGGGTGACCTTGTTATGATACAAACCTTGCTGCTTTTGAAATGCAAATTAATTTGTTATCATGCTAACTAGATTCTGGTCTCTAACACAACAAGGTCACCTTCAGCCTCACTCCAAATCAAAGGCTTTGCAACTAAGTACACAACTGTAAAATGGCCTATTGCAAAAAATGATTTCTTTAGGGTGTACCACTTAACAATGATCTGCCATAGAAAGAGATCAAAAACATTTTTTGAAAAGTCATAAATTGCCCTGTTGGGCTTGTTGTTTTGTATTCATTTTGGTTATTAACCTTCTTAGTTCTTATTATCCCTTAAACCCCTAAGAGTGACTGGCATGTAATTTCTCCTCACCATATCACCCCTGAATCAAACTTTAAGGTCAGGAGAATTAAGGAACTGAATCACCAACTAAAGAAGCTCATGATTGTTAGACAAATTCTCCTTGTCAACACCTTAAAAAATGTTTAGAGAACAGTATGGAGATTACGCATACTGATGTTTGGGTGTAAAGAGTTGAGTAAGAGGACAGAGTAATGACACTGTTTTTGTATTCTTTAAGCAGGGCGTGAAATTGCGCCTAATACAGGCGCCAATGCGACTAAATTTTTCACTTTGGCGACCAAATCCTGAAAATTAGTCGCCAAATTGGCGACTAGAATGTTTCATCATAACCTTACCTAGAGATATAGTGAATTAAAAAGATTTGCAAAGACAAATCCGCGGCAAACTTCCTTGTTAAGTTTGTTTCCAAAACGCAGCAAATGCATCTCGATCGATAACTAGACGCCATCTTGGATTTAGGTGAGCTTAAACGTTGCATATCATCCATCCTAGTGTCCCCTTTGTAGCACGTTAAAGATCTTTTCCCTTACTTAATTTCTAGAACGATGACAGCGTAAAAAAAGGTTTTGTTTGTCTTTCAAAATGGCGACCAACTTTTTTTGAATTGGCTACCACTTTGATGAATTTAGGAGCCAAGTGGCTATTAGAAAAAAAAATTAATTTCACGCCCTGTTAAGCCCTTCTTTTCTTGTCTTTTGACTTCAGTTTATGTGCATCTGGAATTGTAAGACTGAAGATCAATGGCTGGGTGAATGTTAGCTTTTGCCTTCCTCACAAAGTCCACTATTTGAACCAGGGAACCATTCACATCAAGGTATGGAACACCTTCAGAAGGTAATGGGTTTGGTAATGGGATTTTTAATGGTTATGTAATTTGGAGCAATGTTGACTTTGCTTGTAATGGTATCTTTGTTTAGTATGTTTGCTTGTTTGATCAAGTTAGAATTGTCTAATGAAATGCTATTCTATTCTGCTGACCATTGTCGCAAAGATAAATGAGACAGCCTTAAGATGTTATCGTTCTTATACAACCCTCTATTTGTCCTTTTTTTTTTCTTTTTTTCAGCCTGAAGCTATACACAAATCCCTTGCTGTCATCAGGTGTGATAAACATTTTTCACGATAAATAACAGGATTGAAAGTTTTGTTTTGTATGTTTGTTTGCTTATTTGTTTGGTTTTTTAGGAGAGACCTCCACTCGGATTTCAGGACTATTACAACTACCTCTAGGTTTCAATTTTTTGCAAATTACAAGAAAATCACTTGCCTGGGCGTTGTCATTCGGAATGTTGTCGACAATCCATTATATGCTTCTTCTATGACTGTGGGAGTGGTAAAGACATGTTATGGAAATGACGGTATCTTGTTAGACGAGAACGTAGAACTAGATCTACTTTCCAATGATTCATGTCGGCTTTTTTTCCTTCTCTTATATAGGCCATATCACACGCTGCTTTTTCTTGTGGACGAGAGGTATCTATTGGCCTCCCTCGCAGGGGACTGTTCCCCAGCCATCACACGACTGGTGAAAATGGCCAGTCCACTGAAAAGGTACAGCCTGGGATGCCACATGTTATTTAATAACTTACATTGATTTAGCCTCCTCACTTTGAAATAAGTGTTACATGTATCTTGGAAGCAAACAGAGTTAAAAAAGTCTATTTTTGCAACTTCCATGGTATAAGCAGCTTCATCCCCTCCCCCCTGCTCCACCAAGTTGCTTATCCCTCTCCTACCCCCCTTTTTTTATTTTCGATCCTACTTTCATCAACTGAACTCACTGCAGTAGTACGCTGTCTCCCCACATACTTTTACTACGTGCGGCTGTACAAGATTGGAATTGAATGAAATTGGAAAGCCTGAAGATCACTGCCGAGTGACTTCTGACTGTAAAGCAAACGAGTAACTCTGGTAATTATTGCTTCCACAGCTTCCAAACGTTATCACAAGACACAGATATTCCATTATCTCAGGTCGGTATTCTGATCGCTTCAGTTGATACTTAAGTTTTCATCTTGATACCAGCGTAATGTTTATTTTCTTTTCCGTATTACAAGGTGTTCGCTATAGCAGCTCATCTGGTTTACTGGGGAATGGCAACTATCATCTACCCGCTCTGTGAGAGTAACGTGTATGTCGTTGCACCAAATTCCTCCACAAGCGTGTAAGTGAACTGTTTGGCTCCGTATTTTGTTACTGCGGTCGATCAGCCAACCGCTGACGCTGACGATGCGTTTGTTCGCTCACTTGCATTCACGTCCTTGTCTCTTTCTTGAACATCACCGGTTAAGCATTTTTTTTCTCCAGATCGTCGCCGCTTGTGGAAGAATTCACCTCACGTTTTCCAGGGAAGTCTTTTCACAATGTGCTTTCGGAGTTTTCTTTACCCGCTCCTCTGAGCCAACACAATAATCCACTAGGCCTGCCACAGCAAAAGGTACAGCTACCAGAATATTTGTTTTATCTGTGGGGCGTGGCGGTGAGCACCGCTAAATCTCAAAACTTGCCACTGCATGTAGCCCTCAATGAACTTTTTGTAGTTCTATTGTAATTTTTGTCGTGGAAAATTGTCTTGATATCAGCTCGCACTGAAGTCTCGTTCTCCGTCAAGCTTGCATAGTGGTAATGGAAAACTTAAGGATCAACAGTTTTTTTCGTAACTGCTTTCCCTTTGTCATTTTCTCTCCAGCGTTTGGTATCGTAATTTTGCTCGATGAAAGCTTCGTTAAGTCAAGTCTCCCTGGAATTTGATTTCTTATCCTGCCTTACATATTAAACACGGGGCAGGGTTTATCATGTCAGGCTGAGGTAGTTTTATTCCTTGCTAAATATTTCAGGCAGAACCTGCCCAAATGGTTGTGTGGATGTTACAACGAAGGCTCTTAATACAGGTATTAATTTCGTGGCTAATATAAAATTAAATAACACAGGTAGGGCTATCCAAGTATTTGGGAGCCATTTTGATTTGAGTGTTGAAAACGGTTTGCGATCACATTGGTTTTGTTTTACTGCGCACAGTGATTGGTGCCGAAAAGTCGCGTTAACCTGCTTCTCAACCAATCAGATGTGTTTTCCCGCGCTTGAGGTCCCTCTGCCTGCTTCTTCTGATTGGCCAATAAGACTGATTACTTTGGTTTTCACTTTACGATGTCCAGCCCAAAAGTGCTCTAGTTTTCATGATAAAATCATCTAACCCTGACAGTATTAAAGTTTCACATTTTTTGCATTACTTGAAAATGCCTCAAGATGTAAAAAATACATTTTCGTCGAGTTCTCGAGCCCGTTCCATCGTAACAAAGCCTATGAGTTTTCCCATAGTTTGTTAAGAAAAAAATAAAGGCGAAGTCGGTTTGCATTAGCGGTTTTACGCGTCTCTTCCTAATTTTAAACAATGCAAGATGAATAGTCGAGGCCAATGCGATTCAACATACATAACAGTGGCAAATCCACAAGTTTCGGTTCACTGAATTACCGTAAGGCAGGAAGTCGAAGCTGGTTAAAGGCATTTTACCTATCAATTTCATTTTTTGTACGATGGTTGCGTATTGTGGTAGTTATTAGGAAATCATACAGATGTTGGAACTCTGACATTTCTTAATTTGGAGGAACAACTTGCGATCACTTCACAACTTCATTGGTCCATAGTACGTAAAAACTTGTCTAGATGTATAAATTCAAGAGTACTCCTCTCATGAACTCTTGCAAATGGTGAACAAATTTTGCGTCTCATAAAATCGTTCTATTGAGAGCTTTAGGACCAAATACGATTTTTATTTTGAATATGAACCCTGTTTCAGAGAAGATCTTCATCTTTATTTTTTACAGTTGCACGCCTATGTGTTCCTAGTACCGAACGTCCAATCTGAGAAGAGGTCCAGCGGCCAAAGTGGAGGCCTGGGTCTAGGGGGACGAAGGGTTCATCGGATATTTGGAAACAATATCCCAGATGGTCCATCGTCTTTTGACGCTGACCAGCAGGAGCCCGCTGAAAATGAAGGGCATTCAGAGTTAGGAGGTGAACTGAAGGGTCTGTCGCGCTCAGAGAGGAAAAGCGTGCTTCAAGTTGCTGCGGCACGTGACCCGGATGACTTAAAGCTATTTACCAGGTGAGTCTTGAATAATGTTCAACGCTCCGCATAAGGTGCAGTCAGCGCAAACTGCGCTAACCATGGAAAAGGATTTATTTTTAAGGCGAGGAACTAAGGAGAGGCCACAGAATGACGTTTAAGATAGGGTCTCTCGCGCTTTGAAGAAAGGAAGATTTCAGCGCGATTCTTCAGCGTTTAACGTCAAGGGCGGAAATTGATTCTCATCACCCCCGGGTAAGGAGTGAAATCTGACCAATCATTAAAAGAATAAGTAAGCTGTTTGTGAGGAGGGTATAAGTTTCTAAAGAAATAGTGGTACTGCGTCATGGGAAGTATAAGATGTTAATTTGGTTTTACCGGCTGAGTTGATCATGTAATTTGGCTGCCGTAAAGAGTTTTTAAAGCTGACGTTTCGAGCGATAGCCCTTCGTCAGAGCGATGAGCTAATGCTGACGAAGGGCCAACGCTCCAAACGTCAGTTTTAGAGATAACACCAAATTATCCTATTTGGGAGAAGAACAAGTGGTAATTTCATCAACTATCGCCCTGCAGACACTTACTTTACATGGCAGCCATAATACTACTTGATGACAGAGCGTTACATCAGAAATGATCGTGTTGAATGGCACCCACCATTGCTAATTTCTGCTCTTACTAAAAACCCATGGGGTGTCCGTCAAGAATGTCAAGCAATTTTACAAAAAGTGTGAAACGTTCGCTGACTTTTTGCTTTTATCCTTTTATCTTTTAAAACAGACTGATTCCCTACTTTCGGGGAAACCATCACCTGGAAGAAGTAATGTATTACGAGAATTTGACAAGATCTCAGCTATTAACACTGATCGATAAGTTCAGAGATGTCTTGTTTTTGTGTCAGCATGAAGACCCAGTCACCCTCTACTTCTACAATAGATAACACGTCACACTGAAACAACCCTTGAACTCTCAGGATCTGATTAATTCTCCCCTCTGCTCTACACATTTCTTTTTAAATAAGTCACAGGAATTTGGTGTTAGATCAGGACCACCGCCCTCTACCTGATAAGTTTGAATATTCTCAATAAATGTTGGCTGAATAATGTATGGATAACATAGAGAGAAGTTGCATGTTAATCACTGCTGGGAGTTAAAGGGTCAACCAGTGAGAAAATATAGTTAGGTTTTGCTATCCCTAGCGAACCCCTTGCAATGACTGACAGATACAGTTTTTCGCTCAACTGACCGGCGAAATTAGGGTTTATCAGGTATTTTTTCGCTTGCGAAAAGGCTCTAACTAGCGACAAGGTATGAGTGGCGAAGCAGACTTACCCCACGCATGAGACCAGACCCGAGACCCGCGGAATTCGCCGCTAGGGTTAAAGTTAGACCCTAAGCGCTGACATTGGCGGAATGACTGACGGATGAACTGAAAAAGGTGAACAATTGCCCATCTCTTAAAATTTCAGTCAAGACAAAGTTCCCGTATTATTTAGACTTTCGAAAAAGCAGCAGTGAGAACGTTGAGGTCTAGGGAGATAGGAAAAGATTGAGGCCCTTCCGCCGCTCGCTCGCTTCTTCCATGGCTCCTTTTAGCCATTTAACAAGGCTGAAAATTTTGCTTCGATAGAACAAATATCAGAAGATGCAGATTCCAATGAGCATCAATGTTATCAGCTTGGAAAAGGTTTCCTTTTAGAAATCAAAAACAAAATACTGTATGGAATCAGTAAGTTGGAAAGAAGAGAGAAATAATTTTCTCACGCAAATGTACGAATGTAATTAAAAATATTTCATGAAATGTAATTAGGTTAAGGTCAAGTAAATTAGGATGAATTAAAATTGTGAGAATTTCTGTAGGACTTCATTCTTAAATAGCAGTCCTGTAATATTCCTTTCTAACCTGTACTCATACCCTCGATCCATTTATGCGTGCCTTCGTTAGCCTATCCGCTTGTCCCCCTTCAGTACTGTTGAAGACTACTATTGCCTTTCTTATAATCCAACGAGCGGGAGGGAAAACAGAACGTATAATTATTGTGTGAACGAAAATTTGGCCGAGTAAATCCTGTCCTTGTACCAGTCACTTATATTTAACATCTCTCCCTTCATTCAATGAAAATAAAGAATTAGAAAACGTCATTTCTGAGAACACAAAGTTGGTTTTAATCAACAGGTGTCGAGTTTAATAACTAAAATCCAAGACAGAATTTAATACACCACCGTTTATGGGCGCCACTCCTCTATCCGTTTTATTATTCCTGCCTGTGAGAGTCGATAGAAAAAAATGGGAAAAAAATAAACAGGCATAAATACAGAAGTAAACAACAAAACAGCAAGTAAACTTTCCACTCTTTTATTTTAATAATTTAGACAATTCTAATCTAAAATGAAAAACTTCAAGATAGCCAAACCTGAAAAACGTGGTCCTACCTTTCCACCAGTAATTTGAATATGGTTGGAAATTTCCGCCAGAGTAAGCTAAGTGCACATGAATTATTAAATCACCAACCCTACCTTGCAATGTGCACTTCCCTAATAATTCTTAAGCATGTAAGAAATCACTAGGTACTTAGATATGACCTTAGCAGCTAAGATGTGAAGAAATCTAATGTGACTTATTGGAAACTCCAGAATAGAGAAAACTGCTAATAGAGAGACATTTCTTATGAACAAACAAATCAGTGGAATTAGAGTTGAAGGTGGGGTGGGGTAGGAGGGGAACTTACAACTTCTGAAGCTTTCAAGAGATCACTGGCACATCCAAATACAAATTATATGATGGACAACACTAAATCAAACAAAAAAGTTTTCAAAATAACTTAATATTTTGTAACTTACAAGTCAAGTTCCGCTCTTAAGAGCAATTGTTTAGTCAAACAGAATCTACAAACCGCACCTACCTTACTATCTTCCAAAATTTTGCTATGCTCTTAAGAGTCACTTTTATTTAATTAATGTTTAACATCTACATGAACAGTTATATGTAGAAACACTACATTGGTACAGAAAGTGCAAGAGTCCTCACTTAGATAATTGCTTTAATTTTTTCTGTAACTCCAAAGACAGTTTGAATCAGACTAAATAAACCAAAGCTGTAGATTTATTTTTTGTTTTTGAAACTTGATGGAGAATCAAATGTTGATTTTTTTTCCTTATAACCACAACTGATATGCATATAAGCATGAGATTTGATTCAAGTACAATTTTAACGTTTCTAAACTGGCCTCATGACACAAATATGATTCTACTTAAATCAAATCATGCTGCTAACCTACCCCTAGCCAAGACAAGGAGAAAAAAACAAGAAAAGAGATATGAATACTTAAATGATATTTTAAAATCCTTTATTGCACCTACCTTTTTGTACAGAATCTGAGAGCAAAGTTTAATTAATAATGTAAATAAACAAACATTTCATTATATCTACTCTACATTCTGAGAGATAATAATTTGGATCATTACAGAGCATTCTTAGGAGAGAAAATGTTTCATATCAAAAGAGGATACATGGAAAAAATATTTTACTGTGCTCAATAAGAATTTGACAGAAATGCCAGATGAAAAAGGAAACAATAAAAGTGAAGCTCCACTTGTTTAGTTTAACACAGCACTGTTAGTTTTAGAAACATAAAATCCTTTTCCTTTGTTTCAGATTTTACTGCTGTCTCTTTTAATTTCTGAATGTGCATTGATGCTCAATAAACTACTGCAAAGAAATCTGTTAGAATTTACTTATGTAAAAATAGACTCACCTTGTGACCACTCCAGAACAATAGACACCAATTCAAGTGAAATAATTAAATTGGAACACATGCTGATAATTTGATTTGTGTCATACTTGGTAAATCAGAAAAAAATGACTGCAGGCAATGCTTTCAACATCTGAGTCTTGATAACGTAAGCATGGGGTCAGAAAATGACTAACTATATGAATGAATAACTATACAAAAACAACAAGTAGTGCGATATGCCATGCAGCTATCCCTCAGATGAAACATTTATCTGGCATTTCTGAAAAATCCTAGTTGAATTAATTTTACAATCTTAAAATCGTCTAGGTGCACCCATAGGTAATCTCATAGGTGGCCTACCGCCAGGGTGTGGCCCAAGAAGTCCTGGTCCTCCTCTCGGGGGAGGTCCACGAGGAGGCCCTCCTGGGCCAGGAGGTGCCCCCATGAGAGATGGTGGTCCTGAGAAGTTGCCAGGTGGACCAAGCCTTGGTGGCATCCCTGGTGGCATTCCTTGTTGATGTGGTGGTGGCCCAGGCATGTGGGGTGGAAATCCAGGTGGCCGCATTCCAGGTGGGCCCATTCCAGGGCCCCTGGGAATGGGTCCTCCTGGCCCTCCATGTATAGGTCCTCCCTGAGAAGGCCCTCCTTGTGGTGGCCCTGTGGGTGCTGATGACATGGAAATAGGGGGTTGTGGCAAGTTGGCCATCAGAGGCATTGGAGCAATGCTTGGATGACTTCCAGGTGCCTGCATCTGCATAGGTGGGGCACTAACCATAGTAACAGGGTTAGATGATGGGAGACTGGGTGTCTTTGGTGCATATTTAGGATGCGATGCCCGTCGTTCTTCCTGTAATAGGAATGTTGAAACAGGTTCAGTTTAAACTCCCCTCATTTGCTCACTGCTTCAGTTTTTAAGTAAGTGGTGCTGGATATCAACTTTTGCAGATGACCTGCACCATCTGGAAACAAACTGGTGAAGTTTACAATAGCTGCAAGCCTCTAGTTGCAACCCTACTTATTAGTAATTTGTGAAACAAAATTTGACGTCGTCTTCTTAAGAAGAACAAGTGGTTATCAAAACACTGGCTAGCCAAGAACAAACAAAGGAAAGCATGTTTTAAGGTTTCTCTCCTACCAGTGAAATATCTTCATCAGGATGAACCAAACGGCTTGTTGCTCCTGGTGCAACTATGGTAGCAGGCTTGGTAACAACAGGAGCAGAAGTAGGAGGTGGTACAATTGGTTTACCTGAAGAGTAAACTTAATCAGCTTTGGTCATTTAAGTCACATTACTTAAGTTTAAAATAACAACTTTCTTTTAATCTAGTCACACTTGACAGCTGTCTCAAGCTAAGTAGATACCTCAAGTTTCCACCAACCAAGAAATACTTCTCAGTAAGAAGAAAAAAATGACACTCAAATACTTACCAGTTGATGTGACTGGTGGGCTTTGATAACTCGTGGCTGTGGCCGTTGAAAGAAGTGGTTTGAAGTCAGCACCCACAGGGCCAGATGAAGCACTGGATTTTGCAGCTCCATTTACATTCTTATCAGAGAAAAAAATAAAGAGGATAATGTTTTCAAAAAGATTTAGAGAGAGAGCCATATTAAATTGTATAGGAATGAGCTGTACCAACAAAAGTACTAGTAGATAGTAGGTTTGTAAGATACAGGCCATGGAAGAAAAAAGGACAAAGCCATGGTAGAGAGGAACCATTCAGTAGGGGAAAATGAAACAGCTACTGATCAACAAATTGATGAAATAACAAAAAGTTGTACTTCCTGTTGAAAGTGTTACATCACTTTTTAAAGTATGCATTTGAAGAAAACAAAATGTTGGAAATTTAACTCACTCACTCACTCTGACCAGTAGTAAAACAAGTAATCCTTTTCTGCATTTTGGATGGACCTACTGATGTTGCATGTTCCATGCAACAACAGAATTGTTAAATAATAAGGATCCCATTTTCTTTGTGACATTTCTGAGAATAAGGGGTACTGTGTTATACATGACACTACATGTACTCAGATAGATAATTGCTTTTGATTTCTCTTCAAATCTGAAGAATATTTGAAACAAACAGAAAAACTATTTCCTTTTTTTTTTTTTTAAGGAAACCAATAGGGAACTTAAAATTGATACTTCTTACTGTAGCCACATATAATTTAAGACTCTTGTCACCAATGAGTTAAAGATTTGATTCAGGCACAATTTTTTTAAATTGGTATCTTGACATGAAAATGATTACTGGTATGTTTGAATCATATCTCCTTTGGACATGGGTCTTTATTTCATCCATTAGTGCAAACTTGTGAGAGTTTACTTCTACAAATGCACTAGTAGTACTAAAGACTACAAGTTATGTTCATGTACTTACTGTTAGAGAAGGGAAAGGAGACAATCCCTGTTGGAAGGAAAAAAATTAACTTACCTGTGCAGCAGGGAAGAGGGGTTTGGTATTGGGTACCTGAGGCCCAATAACAGGACCTTTTTGAAGTTGAGGTTGACCAGGGGCAGTAGCTGTGCTGGTTGGTGGGACAGTGTTTGGGGGCACTCCGTGTGGTGGGATTGGCATGCTTCAGGAAAGAAAATAAAGGAAAATGCTAAGGCTGCATGCCACAGCTCAATGTTGAACAAACAGTTAAAAAAAAATTGATTGAAATGTTTACATTTACTAAATTATAATTTTCAGTTTCTCCCAAGAATTGACTAGTCAGTGTCACTTAGTGTTAGACCATAATGCATAGCTAATACATTGAATAAAGTTACTTCAAAACCAGAATGACATGTAACAACATACCCAGGAATCTGCATGTGAACAGGAAGCTGACCTGGAAATGCGACAGGTGGCATGTGTGGTGCACCTGCAGTTGAAACAAAAGAACTTCATCAAGGTAATGGTCTCTGACACCCTGTTCTACAACCAACCTTTCTTGTGTAAACACTTTTTGTCCTAAATAGAGGCCCAGTAATTTAATTGCCCATCAACTTGAATAACCAGCTTTCTGTGTTATGATTGCAACACTTCACAATTGAATCTTGAACACTAATTATCCACTCATATAATTTAATTAAAATACTTGAGATTGAATACACATTCTATTATTAAGTGATACTCCTTGATCTAAATATTCCCCAGATCCTAAATCCTCTACAATTTCTTTACCTGGCATTGGCTGAACAAAGGGCATTTGAGGGAAGCCTGGAGGAACTGGCATTCCTGGCACAGGCATCATAGGCATCATTGGTATGGCCCCAGGTACAGCTGCAGGCACTGCTGAAGTTTGTGGCTGATTCTCAGTCTTGGCTTTCTTTTTCTCTGGTTCATCATCTACAACATAACAAAACTAAATTAAGACATCCAATTAACTAGGCACCTATCCAGTTGGAGCAATAAGATCTTTATCACTTTGTAGAGTAAAAACTGGAGTAACCTCTAGCTGGGTAGGTCACTGGTGCCTAACACTGGCTAGACTTTAAATACATTCCTAGTCACATGGAGTAAAGATCCTGTTCAGCACTGACATGGAATAATCAGGGGTTAGAGTCAAAATAAAAAAAATCTGCTAGTTGCTGAATGTTAATGATGCCATCATAACATTTAGTGAAAACTGTCCAATTGAAGGATCACTGACAGATTACAGTGCCACTGAGAATCCCACTTCACCACACTATTTGAAGAATGAGGAATAACATCCTTGGAACCATTGTAATTGAATGAGAACTAAATGCAAGTGATCCATTATTCTTTGACTTAAATTAAGCACTATATGAAAATACAATTGAGAGTTTTCTTCCCTTCTCTCTAGACAAGTATCCTTTGGTTTCTACACAGTGTGTACAAATCATTCACAGAGACAGATGTTTTTTGGTTCTATAGCAAGCACAGTATGAAGAAAAAATGTTAAGTTCCCTACATCAGACACTGGAATCTCACCCTTGTTTGTTCTACCAATGAGCCACAAAGACTCTCTTAACCCTTTAACTCCCGTGAGTGACCAAAGCAGAATTTCTCCTTACTATATCGATACAGTATCATGCAGACAAATGATGAGAATAAAGAAAAATATTGAGTGTGGGATTACTTGTTGATCTGATACCAAATTCTCCAAACTAACATAATGAGAATCATTAGGCAGACAGTAGGAGAATTACTAATGAGATCTTAGGAGTTACAGGGTTTAGTGAGCTTAGCAATCACAGTGTTCATGCAAGCATCCTGCCAACTTCTACCCTTTTCTTTTCCCACCTCTTCTAAAAGTTGCACTTACCATCACCAGCATTTCCCCCCTTCTGTTGACGTTCTTTCAAGTCTTTCTCTGGAATACCCTCCATGCCATAGATCTCTATTTCTGGGTCTCCTCTGTTTGGTACAGAGTTGGGAATAGTACTTATAGTTTCTTTGTGAACTTGCATGCAGTGGATTGCCAACCCTGGGCCTGTGTATAACTTCTTGTGACAAATAGGACATTTGAAATGTTTGGCCTTCTGATGCTGGATTAATATTTTTTCTTCATCAAAGTCACGATTACAATACCTTTAGTGTGGTCAAGGTGTTCACAAAAATTTTGAAAACAACACAAGGTGAATCCACCCACAACATGACAGCATAAAAATACTTCTATGGTAACAACTGAATGTGGCAGTACAGTTTCGGTAAATCTTTCACATCATGCTGCTTTTATCTTCCGACTGGAAAAGCTTATTTCAACTTTGAGCTTCAGTTTACCTTATTATATACCTTTCAAACACAAGAAAAATAATTTAAAACTATGCAGACTTTTATGAATGTTAAAAAATTGACTGATCAAATTGTTCCTTCTTGAAGAAGAATCACAGCTACCCAGCTAAAATTTCAGCAGTTACATAGCTAGGGAGAAAATCTCGAATTCGATTCGCTTTTTACGGGATTTAAGCTTTACTTCTCCGAAAAAAGTGCGAGGAACGACGTAATTGAACTTCAAACCTGCCAGCCAGCCGGCTGGATATTTTAAGTTGAAGTCTGAACAATTTGCTTTGTCACCCTAACAATTTTTACAATCACATGAACATAAGTAAAGTGTTAAAGGATACCAGCACCAGGGCTTTGTAGCCTTCTTCTTTTTACGTCCCATGACAGAAGTGACTTCGACGACGGCGATTGATTTAACCACAATTTAACAAAACGCTATCCAACGTGGTGTGTTCCTCTGTCCAGCAATGGCTCTCGGTAACATTGAAGTCCCGGATGACAGGTATAGAGGAATTCTGGGATAACATTGGTCGTTGGCGGCAAAAATAAACAGAGCGAGGTCTGTTGAATAATCTGCCACAAGTTTAGTGCCATTTTTTGGCCAAAAAGAAACTAAAGAATGGACGATCCACCATTTAAATTGGTACGTTGAATAACAGAGAAATTATTTCTTTCCATAAAAGAATTGTAAAAGAGAATTCTGAGGAAATACGTCAAGACTACTTGTGAAATACATGAAATAATCTGGGTAAAATTTCCGCACAGCCCCAAACTTCATTATGCATTCAGTTCTTGGATAGAGAAAACAGTGACAAAAACAATACATTGCCATTGGAAAAACAGATTTGCTTTAGAATAGTATGGGGCTGTACCATAACCTATTCTAATTTGTTAGAGTATCTTGTTTGAATTAAGATCTCCTTTTTCTCCAGCTCATGCATCTGTTTTTATTTAAGATTTTACGAGTTTTTCTTTTATTACAGGAAACAGTGAACAAGCTATTGCAGCAATTTTTTCGCGACAAACAGAAGACAAAATGTAAGTTTTAAACTCGAGATACTACACGCACACGAAGACTGGGTCGAGGAGTTGCGGGTAGTGAATAAGGAAGAGGGATGAAGCAGTATTGCATTACCAAACAATTAATATTTACTGAGCTAAAACAAGAGTGAAACAAATGGCAAGCAAAGTTTCAGCTAGCTCCAGCTCTGTTCCTTAAGCCAGAATTGCATTTGAAATCACACCATACCCCTCTCCACTGATGCAGACTCCATATCAGACCTACCAGTTTCTAAATGTCTCATACAAAGCATCTATCAAAAGGCTAAAACAAGTAGTCAAGAAATATTGATATTTGCTGATGATTAAAATTAGTCTTGGGAAGTTTTCATAAAAAATCTTGAAAATCTCTTACAAAACCCTTCATACCTTTATCCCCAGTCAAGAGGTACTAAAAACCTGAGAGAAATAAAATTTCAACAGAGTTATTTTTTATTTTATACTTACAATTCTTCATTAACAGCCACTTTCTCACAATGTCTGCTCTACAACAGTCAAGATGGCTGGTATGCAGAAGTTTGCCTGCAAACTGTTACTTTGACAAACTATCATAAGTAACATGAGAAGGAATTACTGTCAGCTAGTAAAACAAATAGGGTTGTGTGTATAACTGCCTTGTGAGTGCCAGACCATTAAAATATAGTGATATTAAACGAAGGGAAGAGTTAATTCCTTACACAGCTGAGATTTTATACATAGTGGGTTGACCCTGCACAGTAATTTGACTGGTGTTCTTTATTCCAGTAACCAGTTTAAACTCCTGGCTGATACTTGGAAATGAGAGTGGCACCATTAGAAATAACTGTCAGACACAAGAACATCTAACACTGGTCTAGCTAAAGACCTGAACTCTGACCTTTAACTCATGAGAGCAGTTGGTTAACTACTAGACCACCTCATTTCCAATATGGTTGATAGCTGCATACTGCACTGATACTTGAATTAAGACATAATTTGTAATTCACAGGTAATGGAGATGCCCTAAAGCTAATGGCAGAATTGTTAAGGATCTTTGTTGCAGGTAAAAATGCTTTACATAAAGGCGTCACTTAAAAAGTGTGTTTTGGCATTGTACATCTAGTTAAATATTAAATTAAAATCTCAATCATATTTAGACTAGTTATTTACATTTCTTTGGAATGGTTTTGGTGATTACTCAAGTATTTTCATGTTGAAGTTTGCAAGAACTCCTTACGAACTAGAGGCCCTCTTATTTTGAACTTTGTGAACAAAATTTCCAGTATCCTGGAAAGTCTAGTTTGTGTTTAAAACATCACCAAGAAACTACAGCTGGGCCGCATTTGCTACTTTTCTGTTCTTACTACAAGATAAGGTTATCTGTGATATATTACAGAACAGACACAAAATAACTAAAAATTAATTTGTCAGATATATGATAAGTGTAGTATTATTTTTTCCACAGAGGGAGCAGCCAGGGCTGGAAAACAAGCAAAGGTATTTTTTGGGTATTTTGTATTATCAACTGAGTTGATAACATAAATTGGCCTCCTTGAAGAGTTTAAAACCTGACATTTCAAGCATTAGCCCTTCCTCAGAGCAATTGGAAGATTAAAATCGCTCTGATGAAGGGCTAATGTTCCAAATGTCAGTTTTTAAACTCTTTATGGTGGCCAATATACATTATCAACTCAGTTGATAATACTAAATCACCCTGTTATACTCTCCCATCAACACAGCACCACAGTTTCTTTACAAATTTACTCCCTTTAATCAAAGGTATTTTTATATGAAAACTTAACAGGGTTATTCCTATAATTAGACGTTAGCAAGAACATTTTACAAATGGACAAAAAGAGAATGATGGAAATACTTTCATATTAAGAATGAAGTGTAGGGAGGACTTCACCAAAACATTTAAAGTATATTTTGAAACTCCGCTCCATGTCAACCTTTTGCAATAAAAATCTTGTCTTCTAATTATCCCCAGAAAGTATTCGCTCTTTAACTATTTGGCACTTTGTAGGTTGAATCCTCGCCAACAGTTGAAACAGAACATTTGGAAAAGATTCTGCCCCAGCTGGTAAGAAACCTTATTAGAAGTAACAGAAGTATCACAAATTCAAATAAAATTAGAAAAAAAATAGACTCAGAGATTTAACAAGAAAAATTCATCAAACCAGAATCTTAACCCTTTACACCTTAACATCAGTATGCACATTCTCCCTTTTGTTATCTATACATTTCTTAAGGTGCTGACAAGGAGAATTTGTTTAACAATCAAGAGCTTCTTTGGTTGGTGATCATTTCCTTCATTTGCATGATCTCAAATGAATGATTCAGCAGTATATTGTCAGGAGAAACTTGATGCTGTTCACTCCTAGGGTTTAAAGGGTCTTTGGTGATGAAGAGAAGTCCAAAAAGCTTGAACTTTCTCTAACGTCTTAACCATGAAACAATCATGGAATGAAAACTTTCTCATGAGTGGGATCATTTATTGTGTTCTCTATATTTTACAGCTTCTCGACTTCTAATTTTCAATGACAGCTGCTTCCTCGAAGTGAAACACAGAACATGGCTGTTTGCACCATATTTACAATATGTCTATATTTAAAAAGCCTAGGAGTGACTGAATTAATAATGGTGACATTTTCTTAAAGGACTGAAACACTATAATTTTCTCAGCAGAGATTTAATCAAGTAAGTATACAGTATATGTATATTTATATAATAAGCTCAGTTATGCATGCATTCTGATTGGTTCTCACTTAGGATCTATTGAAGGGCAGACGTATAGATGACATCATTAAAACTTTTTTTCCATATATTTTAATTCTTTATTATATAAAACAAATAGATTCCAAGTTGCTGTGCATCTGTTCAGTAATAGATCACAGAGGATGTCAAAATGTGGTAAGAACATCAGTGACACACTCGGCTGCACCTTGTGTGCCACTTTTTGTTCTTACCACATTTTGATGTCATCTGTGATCTATTACTGAACAGACACACAGCAACTTGGAATCTATTTGTTAAATATATTTATACTGTATACCTACTTGATTAAATCTCTTCGCATTAGTGAATATTTGGTCTTTAAGTTTAGTAAACTACAATTTCTGTAATTTCTGGCACTGTTTAAATGTCTATAAGATAAGTTGCTAGGAAGAATCATATCATGCGCTGAATTGCACACACATTTGGACAAGTTCTTCCTTATGATCTATGGAGCACAGATGCATACATGTAAATGATTTCATCATGAACTGCAATATTACAACTCTTATTCCCCAAACACATCTGTTGTAATTGGTTGGGTTGGAGAAGAGGCAAGGATTCACCTCTAAGGTGAAAAGAAAGAAGTCACTTCTTAAGGGATGGAACAAAGTATATAGTATTTATATAGGTTAAGTTCAAGATTAACCCTTTCCCCCCTAACATCAGTATCCATATTCTCCATACTATTCACTATACATTTTCCAAGGTGCTGACAAAGAGAATTTGTTTAATAATCAAGAGCTGCTTAAGTTGGTGATCATTCCCTCAATTCTCATGACCATAATGTTTGATTCACTGGTGATATTGTAAGGAGAAATTGGATGCTAGACATTCAAAGGGGTTGAAGGGTTAAAAGCAATGATAGAGGTTGAGGGGGGATTCTATTAGGGATGTGGGATGGATGCATGGGGATAAAAAAAAAGCAGCTTTAAACACCAGTTGTGCTCTGAGAAGCCTGTGACAAATTGAAACTAAGGAACAGAACAAAAACTGTGTGTAACTCACAACTGGAGGATATACAAATTTAGAATTTGTTTTGGTTTTAATTCCTTTTGTTATCCTACGCAACTTCACAACCTTAAAGGAGGAGGAGATTAATCAAATGTGATGTGAGATAAATAAACTATAAGAAGCATGGGAAATTGGTTCGTGGATACATGATTGATCATAACACGATAAAAAGTATTGATATACTTCAGCTTGATATACTTCAGAATTATAAGTTTCTACAAACACTGTAAAAGACCTTCGAATTCTTGAAATGTGTCACTGTTCTTTTCATCTCAAGACCTCAAATTGATTAGCGCGTTGGCTCGTCTTTACCACTTGACTTTTTCCATTAATGACTGTTTTCAAACGGCTGCGGTAAGGGAAATTGGACAACATCCAGTGATCTAGCCGAAGTGACAGAACTGATTCTTGCCCAATATACATGGAAGGCGAAAGGCCAATCTGAGATTGTTGTTGAACAACGGAATTTAAGTAATGCTCTTCCTCGTGGTTTAAATACTAAGATATTGGTTTTATAATCCTCGATTATTGGTTTTCCCATCCTCGATTATTAAATGCTCAAATCGTGAAAACTGACAGGCCCTAATGGAAGGACCGCGCCATTTTGGCCAAGACTACAGCTCTATAAATTCTAAGAATTGACATGTTCCATTGCGGACGAGCCAGTGTCGTGGCAATGTCGTGTGCGTTTGAAAGCGTTGTGAGGTGTTGCAGCTAGAGGCCGAAATCTCCGCAGCCTGCCAGCTATTTAAGGAGCGTCTGTCTCGATGTCGTGACATTCTTGGCACTTTCTGAGCAACTTCGTCAGTCCAAATATGGTCATGAAGGATAACAGGAAGTCGAAGTCCACAGTATCAATTTTAACAAGAACCTTGACCTTTCCTTACCCATCACCTCTTATTCGATTAGTACTTTTATATTTATTAGTGCTATATTTTACGAGCAAAATTGATATCAAAGGGCTGATTGGTTTACATGTGTTTGAATTTTCCGTGGGTTTTGTTACTTAGCTACGAGAAGGAAAATCAAACCAACTTGTATCTTTCGTTTTCGCAATCCTCTTTCTACCAGTCCCTTTTACATGAACCAACACGTTAAAACGGATCAGAAGGCTTTGAGTGAGACACGTCTTTGCTTACAAGAATTTTGCGCAGAATTTTTTTTTTCGCTTAAAGTAATCGAGTATTTGGAAGTTCAGTGCCATGATCACGCCACCGGATGTATTCGAGTCCTATCAGCAGTCAACGCACTTCGGAATCTATTAATCACCCGTTTGTTCGCTTGTTTGAAGATCTCGTTTTCTTTATTTGGCAAAAGTTTGTTTTTAGTCAATGGTGATAATAGGAATGTTTGCCATCCAAGAAAGAGAAAGTCTGTCGTGTATTCCAGTTACAGATAGTTCTTCTTAGAAGCTTGCGATTCCATGTAAGTCACGCGATTGGTTATTCCTGGTTGTAGATCTCTGATGTGGAAATTATTAAGCTGAGATCTTTCACGGAAATCTGGTTTCCTTTGCTTGAGCTTATGTGTAACGGAGCCCTTTCGATCGTAAAACTAACATTCTACCCTTTATGTTGCCCTTTTTGAAACGTTATCTTGGAATGTTCAAATAAGTGGGCTAAATTACGTCCAAGCGTCGGTCACCTTTCGTTTTACTTCAGACGTTTTCAGTTATTTGGGTGATGTTATCACGGGCCATCAGAAAACCCCAGCATTAATGGCAATGCCGTTGGTAACGTGTAAAAGAAAAACAATAGATAAAATGAGTAGAGCAACAGTTCTGCAAGTGCGTTTTCAAATTTGAATATTTTCTAACCGCCCTCATTAAAACTGCCCCGTAAACTCATCAACTGTCACCTACTGTGAAAACGGAATACCCTCCGGTAAAGTTTCTGCGCCCGTCGCCTCGTCAGGGGAATATTACACTAAAATACCCGCGAAATTCTTAGAGAACTAAAAATTCATTAAGCTGTACGGGAAGACTGTAGAACGCTACCATTTGATTTATTCTATATTTATCTTAAGCTGGGAGAAGTCAGGAAATTTTAACAGCGGATGTCTGTAGTCAACAATGGATTAAGAATGTTACAAAGAGTACGGAATTCGATCGAAGTTAAGTGAAGGGTCAAACGGTCAGAATCACGTGTTGGGCAAATATGTCATTCAGGCTATTTTAGGACAAATACGTACAGGAAACTATATGGGGAAACGAATTCTTTTTATTTTAACAAAGAATATCTCTATTTTGAAGAAAAGATACGTATTTAAAAAAGCTTTAGGATCACTAACGATGGTTTTCTTTATCATTATAATTTATTATGTAAATTCACGACGACTTTACGTTTCAGTCGTGCGTATATAACCTAGAGATACTTTTCGGTTTCGACTGGAAAAGGAAAGTTTTTGAAGGAAACTTCAGCACTGACTTACTAGTTTGAGAAGCAATAGAAAGCGTTGAATATTTGTCAAAGAAGAAAGGCGAAAAGAAAATCTGATCGTACTATATAAAAGGGGAGTTATCCGCTTTTTGATTTCGTTTCAAATGCCATACCAAAAGTGCCATGTAAAACGCCTCCTTGCGGAAATCTTATTCAGGTGTTGAATTAAATTGTATCGCTCTGTTTATCTACAAGTGTGTACGTGACCGAGATTAAATCAGTAAAAGACAGTCAATATGGCCTTTTGATGGGCTGAAAATTAAACAGGATTACGACCGAGCCCCTCAAAATAAGGTCTTTTCATGACCAATGAAAATAGATCGAGAACAAATTCATGTAAGAACATTCTAAAAGTTTTAAAGCTTTGTCTTTAGTTCGTGAAGTTTACGTTTACTTCGGCTCAGGGTTAGACCCTTCACCAATTAAATCATGATCAGATTGTCTCTCAAAATTGCACATATCCTCTAACAGTTAGTTCTATTAAAGACTATAATTCGTTTCTAACTCAAGTGAAAAGCTAGTTTTGTCCATTATGATCTAGTCTTAAAGTGACTGTTGCCCGATGGTGTATGTTTTTTTTGCTCTCAAAAGGAGGAGTTGGTTGGAAACACATTGTGCTTGTTTTGTTCTGTTGTCTACCTTTGGTCCATTGAGATAAGAGGGGTGCTTTTAGATCGTCTAAGTACCGAGTAAACCACAAAAAAATTTGAATGAATTTTTACGGTAAAGCACTGAATTTAACAGCGACCGATCTTCCGCGTATGTGACCTCGTATCTGACCGGATGCCGTTCATATCTCTACAGAACTCGCAGTTGCTTAAGGCGCAGCTTAGGGAAAGTTTTGTTTTTTCAGTGCATCCAATATACTTTATGAATACATTTGAAAAATGTTCGCATTAATTTGAGTAAATACGCGCCTTTTCCGTTACATTTTCGGCTTTGCCCTTTCTTGTGAGTTAAGAGGTCAGTGCTAAGGGAAAAATTCGGATGGTTTTTTATGTTTCCTTTCAATGTTACACGTGCATGTTGCGAAAACTGTCGGAAAGTGAATAACGACAGGAACTCGCAGCTAAAAGCGGCGGGAACTTCATCTTATCCTGCCCTTGTATGCCCTCGAGCGTGTTCAGTGTTACCTATTCAGAGACTCAATAGGTACTAGATGGGAACAGCAGGTATGTGTGTGTTAAAGGTGTTAACACCCACCGTGAAAAATAAGCAGTAAAGTAAAATCGGAAGGGATTCTTTAGTTCCGTTTAACACAAGGAAGTTTTTCATTCCTCACTCGTTCCGGTAAAACTGTGATTGAGTTTTCACACAGTCCCTAACGATGAACTTCAAATAACCGAGAAATTATTGTCTATACACTCCTGGGGCGCACACCTTATAAATAAATATTAATTTTATGACATTTATCAAACTTCTTGACAAAAACTCCTTAATTGAATAGCTTGATTTGTCACGCAGTCTTTGATTGTCAAGCATGATTTGTAACTAGTGGAGAATGCCAGAAATTAATTGACAGAGATCTGAGGGCTACAGTTTATTGATTTCTGCCGTGTTTTTCAGCGTTTTAGAAATAACAGCCAATTGACTGACAGTCCCGCGTTACCAAATGATAGAAACTAAGTGTCTTTTTCGAATCACGACATTGTATTTGTCATTTAAGCATGAGAAACTATCCGATGTCAAAAATATTTTACCCTGCAGAATGCGAGTCGACCTTGAACTTGCCCAATCGTCACCGTTTATACTGAGGCTGTGTTTCGCTTGGGTTCTGCCCTTTGACATGCATAAGTTTCTTCTCTGCCCAGCTTCCACTGATACACTATTTACAATTGTTATTTACGATTATCGCTTGTCGTAATTATGTTGAACATATCAATAGCTCATGGTGCTTAGTTTCTGTTCAATTCATTTGGGTATTCTTAGAATAGTTTCAATGTCTTTAGGAGTATTTATTTTAGGACCGTCACGTGTGAGCGACTATCCGTCATTCAATACTTCGTAGAATCTTCAAATTTCATGGCTATTGAACTTAAGAGATTATAGAACACACCTCAGCCATGTGCGTTCAGGGACTGATGCTCGCCGCTTTTTCTATTTCCTCTTTCAAAGAGGATATTTTTTAATGCTACTCCCTTAGGCAGTTTTATACGAAAAGCACCATATATAAATTACCTCCATATGATTACAAGATTTCGTAATATTTTCATTTCTGCACTAGTTGTGGTTGTATTCACCGGGACTCCCCCGCCCAATACGTAAGCGTGACGTATCAATGACGTCAATTACTCTACTTCCTTCTAAATTAGGATTTTAAAAACCTTCGCTCCGCGCTATTTTGGCGCTCAGTTTATCAGTCTTCGGTGCCAACTCGCCATCATGTCAACTTCAAACGAGCCTCCTGTTAAAGTACAAGTTCTGTACCTTGTGAGAAGAAAAAAGGTAAGCCGTTTACTGACGATGTTTCACTTGCATTTTGCGCTTCTTTGGCTCTCGAAATTGGTATCACTAGCAACCCGTCCCTTCTCACACAACTCTTATCTGGAGAAGTTTACGGTGAACTTAAACTGAATGATGTATAGAAAGATGCATTTAACCCAAGGTTTTAATCTCAAGAAGATCAACGAGCTTTCATCTGACTACCGTTAATTATCGTTGGTCAGCCGCGTTTGCCGATTGTTTATCTTTGTACTAATTTCTAGACGACGTTTGTTTTTTCTCGTTATGAACAGTGGGAAACAAAAGACGTTAGCGTGAGTGGATTCGACGGAAAATGTAAGTGTTCCCTTCTTCCTTATATTTATCTCCATATGGAGTACATATGCTTCATGGACACGGTTTCAATTCAACGCCACAACCAAATTAGTACGCCTTGGTTCGATGAGTGGTAATTGTTTTTGGGATCGCCCACTCTCTTATCAACGGCAATGACAACAAGTTATTTATAAACATCTTACAGTTGGAAATAAGAGCGAAAGAAATTTTTGACCACAAGTTGCCTTTTGAAATCGGCGATTCGCGTTTAGATTAAGTACGATCTTTGAAGTGCGAAGCATTTCATTTTGATTTTGTCAATCAAGTTAATTCTAGCGATCGAAATGACACCTGCAAGAACTTGCTCAATGGTTTTGCGATTGAGAAACTATACACAGTTCAGAAAGTGGTGGGATTGCTTGTTATGATGTTGTCTGTGCCCCACTCACCCCCGGCCCACAGACTGTTTCACCTGGCTGTTTGTAGCTTCTTTTCTCACAAGTAACCAAGTAAAATGAACAGAAAGTCAGACAAAGAGTACCTTAGAAGTGAAGATGGTTCATTTTGAGCCTCATTTAAAGATGGAATTTCTTGCAAGAGGCAGAATGATATACCCATGAGATAAATCTTAAGTTTTCCAAAGTAGTGCTGAATGTCATGATCCTCTAACTATTTTTAACTACCTTAAAGCTACATGAGGGAAGTGACATAAATAACCAAAATGCTGCAACACGCATGGCATTAAGATACTGTAACAAGTCTTGATCTGCTACAAACTGCTCTGTGTGCTTCACTTTCTAGTCAAGTTACTGTAAGATATTTCATTACTGTGATGAAAGCACAAATTGATAGAAATTTGACTTGTCATGGATTCAAAATTATGAATGCCATAATCTGTCACCCACTAAAAAATATTCCATTTTTCACTTTAGTCATAGTCTTAAGTCATAGTCAAAACTCCGTCTTCATTTTTTGATCATTGCATTCAGACTTGATTTGGTTCCACCAAAATTCATCTGTAGTTTGTATTGATACTTATAATTTGTTCAACAATCAAGAGCCACTCTTTTGGATGATAATATCCCTATTCTCTTAGTATTAATGTTTGTTTTAGCAATGATACGTCCAGAGAGGATATGATGCCAATCATTGTTGGAGATTAAAGGATTAAGATTATGCCTAGATAACGGGGAGGAAAATTTGAGGAAATAGTTGTGATCAGAAGGGTATTGATTTGATCTAATTCCAAATTCTTTGAACTTGCCTACAAAGAAGTGTATAGGAACTTTCACAGAGAGTGTCCACCATGATCTTAGGAATGAGGAGGACAGAAAGAAGCCCCTACAGGGGCTTATATGAATTGCTATGGTTTTACAGAAATCAATAACAGCCACATTTGTTTTTTAATCTTGCTTAGGATTAGTGTGATTAACAATAATTTGAATATTTAACATGCCTTTTGCTCATCAGGTCAAATAAAAGTTGAATCAACAGCAAGGAAAATCTTGCGACAAAAAACGATGGAAATTGAATTGTCAGGGAACAACTTCTGTGTGGTAGAGATGGGTACAGCAGGTTGTCATAGCAATGTGATTGGACTTTTATGTATGAAACGGGACTCCAAAATACAAGGGCATTTCTTTAAGTCCCAACACAAGGAAATACTCAACAACTTGATGACCATACTCAGAGAGTGCTGTAGAGGTGAGAGAAGTGTTTTGTTCATGATTTAAGTTGCCAATTGCTATTGAAAGAATTAACAACATTGATGTGAGACATCACTTGCTTGAAACACTTTCAGCAGCTATTTATTGTGACCAGTTTTGAGAGATAAATTTTTCTTTTTGCCATTTTCAAAAGTAATGATTTTCCTACATGTTGATTGATTTTAACTCAAATAATAAAACAAGTGGGAAGATATCTGACATGGCCTATGAATAAGAAAACAAAAATGGTCAGAAACTTTTTTTACATCCATATCTTATTTTGAATTTAAATTTCTGCAATTTATTGAGTATCATTATTTGTGCAAACAAAGAGCCTTGGATAATCCTGACATATTTACTTATAATCTAGATAGAATTTGTGGATCACCAGAGCCAATAACTGACATTTTTAGAGTCAGGCAAGGATAGTATTGCTTTAGCATATTCAGTCACTTCCCACCTTAACTAAGGAGACAGTAAAACAATCAAACACCTGTTGTGATAAGGTTATTATTCAAACTTGTGCCTAATTGAATACTTAATGGTGGTACTTAATAGTTGCACCTGTCTTGTGAAGCTTTGAGACTTTGTCATTAATTTGTTTGTGTGTTAATTTGTAGTTGATTCATTTGATGTGAACTTGGATGAAGACCTGAACTGTTTCCCTTCTCAGTCAACCAAAGCCCAACTTCATGTCTTCCATGACAAGATCTGTTTGTCATCAAACTCTGGTTTTGATTTCAAACTCTTGTGTGAATATCCATTGAATTCCCTTTCAAACTGGCAACAAGACCCAACAAACGTGACACTGACCATAGTGCACAAAGGCAAAGAAGAAAAGCTGCTTTTAAAGACTGACAAAGGAAGGGGTATTTGTGCAAAGTTATCCTCATCTGTTCGAGAAGGATATCAAGGAGTACAACAATGTGATGGCAATTCCAATATTATCACAATACCTTCAAGGATAAGCAAAAGTTGTGAAATTTTGGATCACCTGCATCGTCGTACCAGACCAAAAGCAAATTCAATGTTATCCTCAAAGAGAAAACCAAAACCAAAGTCCCAACTTACCCCTGAACTGAGCATGGACACCAAAGATTTTAAACAGAACTACCCTGATCCATGTTTTGCTGGCCCTGGACATTTTGAAAGTAACGTGACTGTAGAAAGCAAGGTGAAACTTACAGCTCTCGAGATTTGTGATGAAACAAATGGTCAGAACAGCTGTTCGTCACCCAGTGACGTACACGACAATGTGACTCTACAACCTTCTCCCCCTCCAATTCCACAAAGACAAGCCAAACAAAATTCAGCAAAGGGTGGTGAATCTCTCCCAAGAGCGTACACATTACCACCCAGCTTTCGGATTGTGTCCCAACTGGATGTTGGGAAAAGGCAGCACCTTAAAAGTGAGATATCATCTAAGGGAATAAAAACTGTTGAAATTAAGGAGCTTGTTCAACCAATACGTGTAGATCCTCTTTATAGAAATTTTGGAAACCATTGTGATTCATACACAGGCTTAAAGATAAATGTGGAAACAAATAAAACATCTGAATCATGTGGTGTGTGTTCACCTGAAGGAGAGGAACAGGATATTTTTAGCATGGCAGGAAGTGAGGGAGGTTCAGAACCTTGTGTGGAGGAGCCTACAGTTATGCAAAACAGGGCATCACCACAACCTTTCATGATGTCAGATTCTGTTCCAAACTCCCATGCAGATAGGAAAATTCAGGATGAAGATAAAGAACAAAGTTCAGATAGTACCTGTCACTATGTGAACTTGCCTGAAGGGTCAAGACCAAGCTGTTATCTTTACATGAATCTTCCTAATTTGAAGACAGCACCCAAAGAGGCAGCTGTTTATGTTAATCATGTGTTTATGAGTCACAGTATGCAAGGGATTTATGAAAATGTCCAACAGTTTTACAATGAGAAGTTAGAAGAGTGTGGAGCTCCACCTGTTCCTCCACCAGTGCTTAAACCTCGCCAGCCTCCTCCGAGATTACCAAAAAGGGCGTGTGGAGGTGGGCAAAGAGTACAGCCAACACCCCCCAGGAGTCCGCCACATATGGGGGCTCCTCATTCACCACCTCCACCCCGTCCACCCAAAAAACATGGGGGCGTTTCAAAGATGCTGGTATGTTTATGTATATTTATTCATCCATTTTGTTAAATATTTAGCCACTGTGGGCATAAGGTTCTCTGTTTCTCTATGAGATGAGAGAATCTAGCTGTGGAAATTGGAAGGTGTGAAGAAGGAGTTAACATTTTTCTCAACTTACTGAGGAAAAATGCTTCTCATCTTTCTTAATTTTACTGGCAAGATGGGTTAAGTTAGATGGGGCAAGTTAGCATCTGTCCTCCTCCTTTATGTGGTAGATATTTTGTTTCAGTGATGTAAAAAAACATTTTTGTTGGATTTAGGAAAGAGGCATTCAGCAGCAACAAGACATCCAAGTTACAATTGCAGTTTTTGCATCAAAAGCAGTAGCTGGTAGGGAGTGGTTTCTGCGCATTGTTGTGATGCAACATGACCCTGATGATTCCACATTCAAGGTAATTAAGTTATGGTACCTGCTATAAATGATGTGTCAAAGTTCCACCTGGCTTTTCTCAATTCTGAGTTTTAGGTTTCCTTGCAATTTTTGCTAATGCTAGAGGGGATCATCTTTAAGATGTTGATTTTTCTTACGCAACCTTCCATAGCACCATTTTCTAGACCTAGAAATACATCAGAAGTCATGAAAAATGACTAAATGTTATATGTTTGAAATTCTAAAGAAAAAATATCCTAGTTACCACATCATTCTGATTTTTCATAATCAACTCCCCAATTTTTGGTCTTGGGAAACATTCAAAAGGTCCAAAGATACTGTGGTTGCTAAACATTCTGAATTCATGTCCAAAGATCTTTCTTCTCTAATGGCAATGCTTATTTAACATACATTTTCAATCTGCTTGTTCCTTAAAGATGGTGATGGATCGTGAACTTGCAAGTAACTACCGCCTCATGCAGACCCACCCATTCAGTATCTCCTCAGACATAGTCATATCACTGAAACACCAGTGCAAACAATTTAAACTTACCAGTGAAAATGCTCAAGTAAGTTTTATGATCATTACTAATGGTTTACCGCATATTTCCTGTGGCTGATTTTCATTCAGTTAAACCTAGTTTTAGCTAAGCATGTTTTGCTGGTGTGAAAATAAAATAACTATTAGTACTAGTCATCAAGTATTGGTTATGGAAAACTGAAAAAAAAATTTTTGGCGGAGTTACATGTGACCTGCATTTCATTTAGGAAATAGTCCTAAAAGTCAGAACAGAATAATATTTTTATTATTTACAATATTTACTTACATTTACTTTAAATTCCTACTTACAGGAAGTTGGCTATAATATCATTAAGGACCTTTTGCATGGTTTTTGGTTTGTGATCGAGTTTCACCTCGAACACTTGAGCAGTGATGGGGAACACTTTGTGGGAAATGTCTGCGTAGAACCCAAAGATCTTCTTCCTGGTGAAAAGTGTCCTGTAAACAAAAGGGTTAATCTTGGAATTAATGAAGACTTTGAATTGAAGGTTCATCCGGTAAGTTATGATTGCATTTGTTCATTGGCACTTGCTTTTGAAATGTTTGGAAACCCACTGTTCTAGCTAAGTTTTGCTTGTTATATTTATGCAAGCCTGCAGAGTACCTACATCTACTAGTCACTTGTAAAAAAATTGTGGTTTTGTGCTCCATTGTAAAGTAATTGTTACCCTTAAGTTTTAGCCTTTTAACTCCTTACACCTTACCATTAGATTCTCTCAATGCTGATTCTTACACTTCCTGTGGTAATGACAAGGAGAATTTGTTTGACAATCAGGAGCCTCTTTAATTGGTGGTCTTTTCCATTATTCTAATGTGACCTTTACATTTGATTCAAGGGTAATTCTGCAAGGCAAAATTAGAAGCCATTCACTCCTTGGGGTGAAAAGGCTAAGCTTGCTAATTCTTAAGTTTCATAGGGACAAGTTACATTTTTACCCCACGGTAAAGCATTATTGTGACAGTTCCACAGCAGGTTGTTTACTGAAAAGAGTAACAGATCATTTGTGCACAGAAACTGAAACCTTTTTGAAGGCAAACAAGTTTTACAAAAGATGATCAAATATTTACCAAACATTTTGATTTTGAATTTCAGCAACGCGTTAATTGTAAACAACATGGAATTCTTCGGGGACAGGCAAACCAGACAAGCAAACATGTGATTTCTGATTATGCAAAACGGAAAAAAATGTGTGGATTGCTTGATATTTCCTCATACAAACAAAACTGGAGAGATGTTGCTGGAAAGTTGAGGTTTAGCTGGGAGGAAATAAAGGGCATCGAGGACAAAGCACATAGATGCCCCACCTTTTCACCAATGGAAGATGTTCTTACGACATGGGAACAGAGGGATCCTGAAAGCAGCTTGGAAAGACTTATCAGGGTATTAAGAGACATTGAACGATTTGATGTCATAAGTGATCTTGGTTTTCCAGTAGGCTCTGAAATTTTATGATCCATGCCATGCTGTTGCTGATTTATGAAGAACAATGATGAGTGTTATGGGCTGGTGTACCTGAAATTTGAAACCAAATTCACCCTTCAGTAATTAAAAGCAAAGTGAGGTCCAAGACAAATATATACTTTGTTTGTTTTTAAGTGAGAAAGAAATCACTGTTTCAATTTAATTTTATGACAGTGAAATTAACTGACTACTAAATTGAAATTGGTCTACTGCAGCCCAGTCCCAAGTAGTTCTCAAGTGTAAGGAAAGGTAGAAAAATGTAACTGAAATGACATTCTCATGCTTACATCACTGGTAAGTGCTGGACTTAAGGACTGCTTAATTTATAGGGTATCATTAGTCGTATTTCTGGTGTGAAATTGAAATTAATTTTTCTAAAATGTCTCTTCATTTTTTTGATCAGTTTATGCTCCTTGATGAGTTTCCCATTTTGAATGGATTACAAAATTTTCATCTTGAAAAGTCATTTTACTTAAATAGTACTGTATCATTCAATTTTTTGTTAAAAAAAAAAAAAAAAAAAAAAAAAAAAGGCCAGAATTCTTGGTTCTTAAAAATCAGTGCCAATATAAAACTCTTATCTCAGGGTCAGAGAAAATGGTTGAAAAACAGCCTGTTTACTGTGAACAAGTTTTAGCTCTTGGAGATGGAGGGGGCTGGGGTGGAGAGTTTTGAGACGACAGGTTTTACAGATACTTGGGTGTAGCTTTGGTATCTACCCTAATTTGGTTTGGATTAGGAACTAACATGTCAAAAGGTAGAATAAACCTGCTAGGGTTTGTAATGGTCACAAAAATGCTTGTATTTGTTTACAGTTTTTATACATTTCTGTCTTTTTTTCCTAATTTTTTAAACAAATCTTCTTTGTACAAGGCATTTTCATAACTTTAATGGCAACTTGCTCTACCATTGCAGTAGGTTCCTTTAATATACAGTTTCAGTGTAATACTTTTTTGGTGTATATTTTGATGAGGTAATTGACAAAGGTAACCTACATGTAGGTTACAACATGTGCATGGCACCAAAACTAAATGTTTGTTTCTTCCTATGGGAGTTGTTATAAAGTAAAAGTTTCACTTTAAGTTTACTGAAATAAATGCATTTTTACAAAAATGTGCCTCCCCTTATAAATCTACCAAGTAAGTTCCCTAAAAACATGTCTTTGGTTTTATACAAAACCAACAAAATCACCAAAGATACTACGCAAGACAACCTGTGTTGTTTTATGAATAAAAATTAATTTTATTAGTATGTCTGATGGTTATAAGTGATATCAACACTGAAGCTTTAAGTGCTCAAGTTTAGGGAAAGATTTTGCATGGGTTTTGAATTTATGACTTTCTCTATCCACTGCAGTAATAAATTTCTAGCAGGAACAGTTACACTGAAACAACCTTTTACCTTTAAACCCTTTTACATGTAATATTGACTAAGATCTAACTTCTCCTTTCACTGCTACTGCTGAATCACACCTTGAGGTCATGAGAATAAAGGAAATGATCATCAGCTTAAGTAAGATGCTCATGATTTTTAAACAAATTGTCCTTGTCAGTACCATAGGAAGTGTATAGTCCTAGAGAACAGTTAGGAGAACATATATACAGATCATAGGGTAAGAGAGGTGAAGCAATTATTTCAGAAAGGAATTGTGACTATTTCCTTCTGGAATGAGAAAAACCCATTTTTGAACATTTTTCCACAATCAGGAGAAATTTTATTAACTATTAAATAAAGATTCTTTACATCTTAGCATAGTGTAACTACTTCAAGGCTTCAACTCTGACTAGCATGTGATTAAACACACTGTGACTCAGCAAGACACAGAGAATACTTAGATGTTCATTTTCAACCCCCAAAAAAATATTCTTTGCTAAATTATCTTTCTTTGCACAAATAACAAAGAAGAGTGAAAGATTAAATTGACTCTCAGTCTTGCTAATTTTCTTTATTGACAACATCATCAGTCTTGTAAGGGACAAGTACAACAAGTACAACAGTGAAGTCACCAGTCAACAAACATTAACCATTTAACTCCCATGAGTGACCAAGACAGAATTTCTCCCTATAATATCAATACAATATCAACCAGATAAGTGATGAGAATAAAGAAAAATATCAATTTGGGGATAATTAGTTGATCTAATACTAAATTCTTTGAACTAACATTATAAGAATTGTATGGTTGACAGTAAGGAAAATAACAAATTGGATCTGGGAGTAAAAGGGTTAAATAACTCAGTCTGGAAACCCTCAGAAGAATGTCAGCACAGATGGAAAATGACTACTGGATTACAAGTATGATCAAATATGATGCTTAACCTTATAGTGTTTTTTTTCTTTACACACATTTCCATTTAGCAACCTGCATACTATATTTAAAGCAAATCTTGACTTTTCCTAGTATTTCCTTTGAATGCAATTCTCTTGGACTTATGTACACATCACTTTCAATTTACTTGAAGCTGCATGCTAGTGAGAGCTTCTGTAGAAAATTTCACATCCCTTGATACCAGCCTTCATGGTCACTCGTCTTTTCAAAGAAGAGGTGTCTATAAGGAAAGCATGATGGCCAGCATCCAAGTGAATAACTTACAAAGAGAGAAGCTTAACCATTTCTCAGAGATAAAAAAACTGAAGAGAAGTATGAACTGTGATAAGTAGTTCTTTGTGATGTTATATCCTCTCTGATAACCATATAGCTGCTTTACAACCTGTCTGTATGGCTGTGGATAATGCTTGGTACATTGGTGCCTGAAGAAAATTTAACAAGCATAAAACAGAAAAGCATAATTAACCTATGACATAAAAGATTGGTTTTCAATCACTACCTTAAGTTTTACTCTCCTTAACTCTACGTATGGTAACAATTTTAAAATTCTAAGTAAGGCCAAGTAACACCAAATCCTGCTGCCTTTTTTATCACAGTACTGTGGCTTTGACACTAATTTCCCACATTGATTTTTAAAACAATATGGATACCAACAAAGAAACAAACAAATAAATCCTGCAAACTCTGGTACACCATATATCAGCAGCTTACCTTTTCAGCATCATGTTCCTCCCCGATGTGGAGATGTTCTAACTCTTCATCACGAAACTTTTGTATTGTCTAAAATTCACAAAGGTTTATGTCATGAAATAACTTAATTCAATTTAGTTTTCAAAATAAATTAATGAGATTCTCCAGGTTAGAAACAAACCAGTAATATATACCATGTTTATTTTGGCAGCAACCACTTTCTTTTTCTAGATCATTAGTGTCAATGATATTGCGAAAAATTGTTTTGTGGCACTGCTTTCTTAACATCTCACTACTGTTCAGAAAATTATTTAACTCAAAAGAATTGAACTAAAAAATTATGCTTTTTTAAGTGGGGGAAAAAAATTGCTACTTGGTAATAGATAGAAGCTCAGAAAAGAAGGAATTACAACTTACATCTAATAAATCTTTATTTTCATCTGTCACCCCTTCTACTAGCAGCTCTCTCAGTTGACTGAAATTGAAGCAAACTATTTTTCAGAGATAAAATTACATGTGCCTATTCAACTTTTCATTTTATCAAGTTATAGTTATTTTATTGTTGAATTCTGTAATATGCACATTAGAGTATGTGTTGTGAATTTCAAGGCACTAATTAAATAAAACTTTAGAGGTCAGCCATTAAATTTTTCTTAAATGAAATTCAGTGTATTTCTTCAAGATATTGAAATACAAAGCTTTTTTTAAGGTTGAATTCCACTCCAACAAAAACACATTTCAGGACAGTAATTACATCCCATCCACATAAGAGTCCCTAGAGTGCGCAAACTACACAAGAATGAATTTTGGTTTACGACACCAAATTCTCTATGCACCCATAAACAACTCAGCCAAAAACAAAATCTGTGGCAGCTACAAGAAATAACTATCTATGACTAAATATTGGGAGTTAAACAGATCTAGCAACCAAAACTAAAACCCAAAATATTTTAAGAAAAGAGTAATTAGCTGCCATTACTGACAGAACATAATGCAGCTCACTTGTCGTAATGTTCACTGATCACTTCTTCCACAGCTACAGTACAAGCCATGGCAGCTTCCTTCCCAAGTAGAGCAGTTCCTGCTCCTACATACAAAGTATAAAATTAACCAAGGATGAGCCAACGAAAATAAGAATCTGAAGGTGCTAGCTACCCATACTTAAGTTTACAAATCAGTTTTGCACCTCACAAAACAGTTAAGGTACAAGTCTCACAGGCAATTGAGTCTGGTTCAAATGAAGCACGATTTTTTCTGCCTTGAGCAGCAATTTGTTTTGAAAACCTCTCCACCTCCCTGCCAATATTAGTTAGAAGAGACCACTTCTTTTTCCCTTTGTAGGAAAATTATCTGAGCCAGCATGAAACACACAGATTTAGTTTAACATTAGGCCTGAATATTCAGCCTGAATAACCACTTACATTTTGGCAAAAAAATAAACCCAACTTTCGCATATAAATAGTTCCTTCCTTTTGGAGAGAAACAGGGCTCAAATTAAGAGAACAAAGAGAATGAAGCTGATAATTGTACTTAAAAAGAGAGAAAACGCATACTTGATATTATTACTCTTTATATATTTAAATAATCATGAAAGGTTTGTGACTAATTTGTAGGTTTCTGGACATTTAAATATTTCTAACACTTACATCAACTATACCTAAAACATATCCTGCTATATTCCACAGAGGTATCAGAGCTGTGGGCCTGACTCTTCTCTCAGCCACAATCTGCTCAAACTTTTTAAGGTGTTCCTTTTCCTGATCCCACATATGCTACCAATTTTTAAAAGAGTAATTAAAGTAATTATTTTTCAACATGATTTTGTGGCTAAGTATAAATTCATAAAGTAAACATTTGTTTTGGAAGATAGTAGTACTACCATTGTTAATTGCAACCCTTTTACTGCTAAAATGCTGGTCAGTATGTGCACTAAGACTAATTGTGTATCAGTCAATATGATGCAATCAGCAACTATTATTACCTTACTACAAACAAAATAACATTAGATAAAAACAAATGCTGCCACTTGTTTATGCACACAAAACGATTGTATTATAATTAAATAATCTACTGCATTCTATATATTTTGAAGGGGATTTTACCCAGTATGATCCATTAACAGAGGAATCCATGCCCTCGTTGGCATGTACATTCCACTCTATAGATAGGCCAATATTTTAATAATAATAATAATAAAAGATTTATACCGCGCCAGTATCCTACTGTTCAAAGGCGCCTACAAGAAAAAAAACTTAAACATTAACACTTAAGACAGCTAATATTAATTATAAAAGGCTTTTCTAAAGAGTAAAGTTTTTAATCTACGTTTAAAAACAGACACAGACTGAGCATTTCTAATTTCACTTGGCAAAGCATTCCATAATGATGGTGCTGCTACAGAAAAGGATCTTGCGCCATATGTTTTCAAGTTATAGGATGGAGAAACCAGAAGGTGCTTGAATGATGAGCGTAGTTGACGCGATGGGGTGTAAGATGTAAGCAGATCACAAATGTAATGACGGTGCCAGGTTGTTAAGTGCCTTGTAGGTTATAAGTAAAATCTTAAAAATAATACGTTGGTTAACGGGAAGCCAATGAAGATTGAAAAGAACAGGCGTGATGTGATCATGTTTTTTTGTAAGTGTGACGAAGCGCGCCAGCGGCATTTTGAACGTGTTGTAGCCTTTTTATAGCGTAGGCTGGTAGGCCATACAAAAGGGAATTACAGTAATCCAGCTTCAAGATACAAACATATGAACCAGCAATTCAGTAGTGGTCGCTGAAAGATATTTCCTGATATAGCTAATATTTCGCAAATGATAAAATGAAGATTTACAAATGTCAGTAATATGATCCTTAAAGCAAAAATGGCTGTCGAACATAGTGCCGATATTCCTCGCCTTTTGCACGGAAGGAATAGTCTCACCAGCAACTGAAATTTCGTGAAGGAGTGGTCTTGGAAGATGTTTAGCGGAAATTACCAATAATTCAGTTTTGTCTTTATTTAATTTAAGACGATTAACCATCATCCAATGACTGATTTCATCCACACAGCTCTCGATGCTAGAAACCGCTAGATCCCTATCACCCAGTACGGTTGGTTGGAAAGACAAGTAAAGCTGTGAGTCGTCAGCATAAAAATGATAGCTCAGGTTAAATTTCTTTACGATATCTGAAAGCGGTGAAGTATAAAGCAAATACAAAATGGGTCCCAAAACCGATCCTTGTGGCACTCCACATTTAAGGTCATGTTTCGTCAAGTACCACCATCAACAGAGACATATTGCGTGCGATTCGATAAATAAGATTGCAACCATAATAGAGGCTTCCCAGCTATCCCAAACCGTATACGTAAAACGAGAGAGGAGGATGGTATGATCGACTGTATCAAGGCAGCGGAAAGGTCTAACAACAGCAAAATTACGATTCGACGATTATCAATGGCAGAAAGAATATCATTGTGAACACGAATAAGTGCAGTTTCAGCACTGTGATATTTCTTGTACGCCGACTGGAATGTCTCATTTAACTCATAATCGTTAATGTAGGAGATAAGTTGATTAGCTACCAATTTTTCAATTGCTTTGCTAATAAATGAAAGATTCGATACCGGACGATAATTGCAGAATTGAGTATGATCCAAAGAAGATTTCTTAAGGAGCGGGCGTAACATTGCAACCTTGAGTTGCGAAGGCATCTGACCAGATTCCAATGAGATATTTATGATTTTGGAAATTTTGGAAATTTTCCTACGTTGTGTCAAAAAAACTCAATTTCTGTATCGAGGATGTCTCATGGAATATCATCATAGGCTTAAAAGACAACCTGGCCTAAATAAGGACCACACAGAAATGTCAAAACGTGGTAGTTGGACGGATGGTCTGTACAGTAGCCCTTTGATAAGTGGGGAGGGATTTTCCGTAGGAGAGATGATCGAAAGCCGTCTAGACATACAAATCCCATACGGCTTAAGGTAAAATTTCCGCACAGCCCCATACTATTGTAAAACAAATCTGTTTTCCCAATGGCAATGTGTTGTTTTTGTCATTGTTTTTTCTATCCAAGAACTGAATGCACAATGTAGTATGGGGCTGTGCGGAAATTTTACCCGGCTTTGAAATAACACTTATTTTGAAGAACCTGTTTCAAAACTTTTGTATTAAAAATAAGTAAACAAAGGTGTGAAAGTTTCCGATCATACCTGCCCCGTAAGCTTTTGAGAACATCGACAGAAAATCAAAAAAATTAAGCCCAAGAGGTCTGAGATCTACCTGGATGGTTGGTCCTACGCTAGTTTTTCCGAGAACTGCCATCTGCCCAGCATATATTCGATCAGCTCCCAGTTCTCCTGCATGGTCTACGCGAATTATTCTGTCAATATGCGATCTTGGTCTTGTTACACGCGTTCTAGTGGCCTGAGAGCAAAGACATCTTCTGGAAACTCTCAGCACCGGTGCCGCCATCTTCAATCTCGCTCGAAGCGCGGAGATTGGTAACCGAGATTGGTAACCAAGGTTGGACGCCTTGTCAATCACTGTCGTCTAAGTCACGAAGGAAGCATGTGATGCATTCTGACAGTTATTTGAGTATTTATCCTGGGGCGATTTTGGCTGTACTTGTACTTATTGGTTTTGCTTAGCAGATCATTGGAAGTTCGTCGGTGTCGATTGGGAAGCGTGTAGAAGATGCAGCTTATTACGACAGTTGTGTTCGCTATTAGCTTGCTAAGTGTCCCAGGCGAGACTCGACCTTGGGTCCACAGCTCGTTGCAAGAAAATCCATTATCTTCCGACATAAAAACAGATCGGCCCATCATAGGTGAGTCATGCATATGATCGTGTTGTGAGATTTAATTTTTCTTTAAGAGGAGATCCGAGGTAACCAAAGCCCCAAAAATCACGTAGTTGCCTTCAGTGATATTGTTTTACCTTAAGTTTGCAACGAAGGATCTGCTGAATTTATTCAGAATAATTATATCTAACGAAAATACAATTACTTTGGTGTTTATCCTTCTCAGTAGGAGAAGTCGAAGAGCTGTATTGAAATTTTTTTTCAAAGTGGTCTTTGAAAAAATTAACAAGTTAGAGAAGTGATTTTACTCCATTCTTTTTCCTGCTGAGGCTAATTGATATGTCACTTGAAATTATTAAATATTTTTCTGCATATGACATCAGAATCCAGTCTTGCATTTATTTTTATTGTGTTTTGTTTTACTGTTGAAAGGAATTCTGGCCCAAAACACAGATGGCTATGTCCAGACTTTTGGGCCAACATACATTGTTGCCTCTTACATCAAGTACATAGAGTCTGCTGGAGGAAGAGTTGTACCAATTCGGTATCCTTTAACACAAGTGTAATATTCTGCAATTTATTTTTAGCTCACAAAGTGATTGGTTAGATTGAATATGCACTTTTTGGATTAAAATTGACAGCTGTAGACCAAGTTCAGTCTGCTGTGAAGTGTAAAACCTTAGCAGAGAGTAGGTAGGTAGGTGAGAAGGTACTTTATTTCTTCCACATTATACTCATGAGTTCAAGACTGATTTAAATGTGAACATGCTATAGGGTAGGCCTGAAAAGGGCTTTTGTCGGTTGGAGACAGTGGATATTTCAGCACATCAAAAAGAGGTCATTCTGAGAGTCAAAGGGTATTGTTTTTGTCGGTCAATTGTCTTATTGGTAGTCTGGTCTGTGAAACAGTTAATTAATAAGTAATGGTTGTCAATTGTATTTGATCAGTTTCCTTTTGGTTATTAATAAGCAGAGCTTGGTTTTTGGATGCCTTTTCCAACCATCTTTTTCCCTCCACTTTCTCCTTACTTTACACATGTTGTAAAATTTTGCATATTTGTCAATTACCACAATGCATAATTCATTCTTGATTAATTGAGGGGAAATTAATATGGTTTTATGAACAATCCCAAGATCAAAATATCCTTGGTAATCATGAAATTTGTGTTAATTTCATTTGAATTATTCAGCTTCTGAGAAGTCGTGATTATTAAATGGGACATGTCATGGAGTATTAGAGGCTGTATAATTATCAATAAGTGTCATTATAATTTATATTGTGAGAAGGCTGTTTTTATTAACTAATGGCAGAAACAACTTGACTGAGGATCAGTTAGAAGATTTGTTTAAGTCAATCAATGGGTGAGATGACTAAAAGAAGTCTTAATTTTAACATAGTGTGCACTCATCTGGTAGCCACAAATTATTGTTGAACAATTTTAAATTAATTGAGATTGTTGGATGAAAGCAGTGTGAAGTTAACCCATGAACTGGAAGACATTTTTGGAACAATCACATATTTTTGAAAACGTATTGTGCCACATCCGAGCAACTATTGCATGAAATAAATTTACCTGAGGATGTAAATTTAAGATATCCATACTTATGTGACAATAACAAACGCTTGGCTAGGTTAGGCACATCTTGTGGCTCAAAGCCTAGTTTGATCTAAAATTCTCCCATCAATTTCAGTTTGTTTCAGATCATGATAATTATCAATACAAGCCAAAGAAAAATTAAGATCAAAGTAGTTTTAAAAATTTTAAATCAAATGAATATGTGAACAACAGCAAATTTGATAAATATTTATGACTAATTTTCTCTTAATCCTTTAATACCCATAAGTGGCCAAGACAGAATTTTGTGTTACAATATCAATACAATGTCAACCAGATAAATGATGAGAATAAAGAAAATTATCAATTAGGGGATAATTAGTTGATCCAATACTAAATTCTCTGAACGAACATTATAAGAATTAGATGGTTGACAGTAAGAAGAATTACAAATTTGATCTGGGAGTTAAAGGGTTAATGTGTTTTCTTTTTGGATATAGCGTCTTATTTCCAGGTGGTGGAGCAGATATATATGACTCGCCATACTCAAGAACAGGCAATATAATCTTTAATCTGGCAAAGAAGGCCAATGATGCTGGAGATGTCTTTCCACTCTGGGGAACTTGCTTGGGATTTCAGTTTCTCAGTGTTCAAGGAGCTGGTGGAAGAAAAATTACTTCAGATGTGGATGGTCAAGATTTTAGTGTTCCTTTGAATCTCAGTGAAGGTGAGAATTTAAACAACATTTTATTATTATTATTATTATTATTATTATTATTATTATTACAAGAAATTCAAGTGGTGTTTTCAGTATTAGATCTTGAGTCCTTTCCTCTCTTATATTTCTAGGTTACAAATCTAGTCGCCTTTTAGGATCTGCACCTGAAAACATAATAACTTACCTGAAAACAGACAATGTTACTTATAACCATCACAGGGAGTGTATATCTACAAAGGCAAGTATATATTTTAGGTTGGATTGTTCGTAGATTAGAGGTCTAATCACATACAAAGGCTACATAAGGGTGATTAAAACACCTATGGTTACCATGTATCCCTCTTGCTCTAAAACTGGTAAATTTTTTACCATTTGAGTTTGGTTTGGGTCTTGATTTTGATTTTTTTTTTTAATTTAAAATTTTTTCTTTAACATGTAACTAGTTTGACTCTGAAAAAAAAAAAAAAAAAAAGAAAAACAGGGAGAAATCAGTTGCTTTGGTCTAAAACAGGATAAGGGTTCCTGGAAGCATGCTAAGTATTTTCAACACTGATTTTCTCCTTACAAATTTGAATAAATTGTTGATTAAATAAGTGAAAAATTAAATTATTTTATGAAAATCATCAATTACTAATTCTCATACTATTACATTAGCAATATATTTTTATATATTTTGGCTATATGTAAAGGGATTAATAGCACATCCAAGATGATTTTGGATTATGCATGATGTTTCCCATTCAAGCTCTCTGCTACACTTGGTTTCTTACCTTCCCAAGGTCAGCTCTGAATGGATAACCAACTGTGTGCCCCCTTACTTGCAATATTTCTGTCACCTTATCTTTTCAACCTCTTTATGTTATTCTTTCCCTGTCTGCTTTTTTGTACTTGACCTGAAAAGCCCACCTGAGATATCAGTCTACTGCCTGATGTTATCATGATTATGTATGACAGTAGGACAAAGAGTTTTCTTTTGAAAGATAGTGACGTCACAATATTATCATTTTAGACATATTCACAAGATGAGCAGTTAAAGAAGTTCTACAATTGTCTATCAACCAACAGAGGCAAGAAAGGAAAGGAGTTTGTATCAACAATGGAAGGTAGGGCTTTCCTGACAGGTTAACAGTATCCATTTATATTCCTGCATGGAGAGAGGCACTGTGGTAGACAATTGTCTTGCTCAAAATACAGAACACAATGACCTGGCTATGTGGATGTCTCTAGCATGGTCTAGCATGCTCACTGTGAGGCTGTAGATGCTCCCATGCTAAAAATTAAACCATCCCATTTCTGTGGCCACTCAATAAAAATTTGACTGTACATCCTCCATGTATGGATATTTTCATGGGCTACCATATTAAAGGTCTCTTATCAGTATTTCTCATCTTCCAAAGCATATGATTATCCATTTTATGGTACACAATGGCATCCTGAAAAGAACTCTTTTGAATGGACCCTTCATGAGGCCATAAATCATTCTGAAGAAGCTGTAGCAGTTACACAGTATGTGGCAGATTTTTTTGTCAACCAAGGTAAGTGCCCTAGTCACACAATCTGATTCATTCCCCATTTCTATGTATAATTACGTCTTCCTTGCATCACCTAACCCCACATTTATGCAGTCTTGGACAACAGAGTGAATCATTCCTTTTGAGTTCCCCTTAAAAGGCCAAATTTTCAGCAAGAAAGGTGTGTGAGATTTGCCATGTGTCTGGGGTCTGGGACAACAAAAAAGTAATTGACTCTCTTGTGTGGATTCAAGCCCCAGCTAATAAGATTTCTTCCTAAAGAGAAATTACTGTATGTGTAATCCTCCCTATTTTGCCTCTTGAGAAAAGACAACCTTGGAGGCAGGGTTGTCTCAACTACCTGCCACCACATGAAACCAGTTGGAAATATTCCAAGGCTCTCTGTACCTAAAGGGTGATAGACATTTGGCTTAGATATTAAATCATGATTCCGTTCTCAGCTCGTCTAAGTGGACACAGATTTCCAAGCAAGGAGGAGGAAGATGCTGCGTTGATTTACCACGATAATCCAATCTACTGTAAACCGGAATTAACACACTTTGAGCAGTGCTACATTTTCTAGAGAAGCCTAATGGCTTGAGCATCATTTTAAATAAGGGAGGTTTTGAATGTGTGTCCAACACGAGCTAAAGTAATTACTGTGGAATCAATTAATTTCAGTTCAATCAATTAATCAATTAATCAGTTAATTTCTTTAACTAATCGGATGCAAGACCATAAAAACTAGTAAATCTTGAATGGGTCATATATGTTAAAGGGCGCCTTTCGATCGAGTGGTGATGCACTAAACTTTAAGTAATTGCATGGGCCAATAATAAATAAGAGAAATATGATAGAAGCCAACGAGAATTCAAAGCGACTACATAAAATGTATTTAAGGCACAAGAAAAAGTGACAGAGTCGAGATGGTTTATATTTACTTTTGCTTTTGATTGAGAGGGTGTCCCGAGATTTGTCTATATGCAAAAAATGTTTATTTTATAATATGTCCATTGTTTCTATGGTCACCGTGGTAGGACCATTTGGAATTTAATTCGGCCAGTAATCATTAAGTGATCACAGAAAATTAGATAACCGCGAAATAAGGGTCCGGTTTGTTGATTCCGAGTTTGATAACTCACCGAATTGGACGGCACAAAGTCCTGTTTTTATCTCATAAAAACTATGACAACAAATAGAAGGGAAATACTTGTTGGTTCAACTCATTCATTAAAAATAATTTCCAGAATTTGTCCTATTTTCCATGTTTAAAATGAAGTTTATGATGCATAGACTGTCTCATTGTTAGTTTGATGCGCACACTGGTCTATTTCTCTTAATACACCTTCAATATCCAATAAAATTCGAGAATTTTTATTAGTTTTGATTACCATGAAGGTAAACCATTGTGGCGAGCTCCGGCCACAAGTAAGAAATGATATTTTCTTTTAAGTGGACACTAATGAGGCTTTAATTGGGAAGATCGCTTTTCGATTGAGTGTCATAGAACTAGACCCCAGGTGATTGCATAGTTTGATTATGGGTAGGGGTTGGGTTTTATAAAGTTATATAACGTGACATACTATGGCTGAGTTAGGTTAAACAGAGTAACTTACAAAGTGCCACACCAAAATTGTAGTGAAATCATGTGCATTTACCGGTGAAATAGAATAATATTTTGTACGCTGTTGTGCGTGTTTCATATGAAGGGAATCGAAAGCTTAAGCCATTGACGCGGATCGCAACCCTTTAGCTGGGTTGCGGTTGAATGTAATTTGTTTGTTGTTTGCGAATAAATATGAATAATTTTCTTCCCTTTTTATTGTGAAAGGCGGAAAATATCACGAGGGAGTATTACACCAATTTTATGGATTCTAAAATTTACTTGTAAAACCCCTTCGAATTGACGACGAGCATGTGCCACCTTACGTGATTACGATATATGATGTGTTGTTTCGACTAATAATCACGTGTCCCTCAGCCCAAGAGCAGGTTCTGCGTCACAAGCGTTACGTCGCGAAGCCTGCAGGAGGTCCTCGAGCTGTCTGGCTCTCACTTCTCGAGCCGGACCCCCCAGCGGGAGGGCGCGATTTTCTCGTGGACTTCGCTAGAAGTGATGTTGGTGCAGCAGCGTGTATGCTCACGTGAAAAATTAGGAACATATTTTGTAAAAACTGCCCTGAAATATTAAGCCTGACTTTAAAACTTTTGCCTGCATCATGCACAATTTCCATGATTGTAATTTTGGTTAGCCTCGAAAGAAGTAGAACTTACAATCGATTTTTTGACACCTCCACTTGCTTGTAAATTAAAAGGATGAATCCATTAGAGTCAGAAAAATGGAGCTCGATGGAGCCCTACGTTTTGACCTGACTTACTCTGCAGGGTGGCCTCAATCACAAGTCACCAGGTCCACAATCTACGCGCTTTACTATGAATCTGAATTCGTAATAGGGGTTTTCGCTTTCCTTGCTCTTTTTGCTTTCGCATGACACACAACATAAAAGTTCGTCTGTTTCGATAACGAAACATCAAAAATGCCTCTGATTACTGCGGTGGTGCTTGTTTTGAGTACTTGTATGCTGAATGTTGTAATTGATACTCGGCCTCAGTTTCTCAGTTACACTCCAAGAGAAGACACTCTCTCCTAAAGAGAAAACAGATCGTCCCATTAAAGATAACTCAAGATTTTATTATGTTAATTTTTCTCAATTCTAAATTGTCTATCACTCAAGAATGTTGCAAATTGATTATAATTACAAAAATTTAACTAGACCCAGATGAAAAAACATTTCTGTTGATAAGCAAGCGGTTTTAACAGGTTTATTTACTTCAATAAACGAAAGCTTTACATCTCTCGTTTGAAAAGTGTTCTGACAAACATGGAAGTATCTTTCATGGTCTCCGCAAATTAATTTTCTTCTATCTCGTTTAACGCTTCCTTGGAAAGATTGACAAAACGTCAGGCAGCCATTTCGAAATTTAGCGTTCCTGCTTAATCACCTCGCGCGAGGAAAAACGTGTCACTATTTGGTTCCATTCTTTCCTGTGGAAAAAAGACACCATGACTTAGTTCAAACTATACACTAATGAATTGTGCTTTGGAGCCACTAATAGCAAATGTATTAAACCGAAACATATTCTCTGTCTGTTGAGACAGTTTTGCAGCGTTCAGTGCCCAGATGAACACATGTCGTGGTTTTCTCATGCTGGATGTTAGTTTAAAAGTACCTGCTCGCTGTTGTGTAGTTGGACTGATTTCAACACGTTCCTTCAAATAGAACCAAGTGTGTGGTTTCAAATAATTCTGCAAAAACATCTGTTCACCTCTTGCATTAAACATCACCTTTGGTACCCATAAGACAAACCTGGTGACAAGGTATCTCCCAGGAACTCCACCAGCTATGAAAAGGTGTTTATCCATATGACTATGTAAGCAGTTTTGAGAAGTTTAACGAAACAAAATTACCAGATGAAGATGACTTTTAAAGAACGTTAAATGATGAGCATATATCTGATGAGCGATATGAACATGTAAAAAAGGTATGGAAGATGTCTAATATAAAATCAATCGGAGAATATCATGATCTATATCTTGAATGAGATGTTCTTCGATTATCGGAAGTGTTTGAAAACTTTAGAAACACATGTTTGCAAAATTACAAGCCAGATCCATGCCATTACTTTACACCTCCTGGACTGTCATGGAATGCTGTGTTGAAGATGACCGACATCAAACTGGAATTAATGACAGAAATTGATATGTTTTTATTTATTGAAAAAGGTATATGGGGTGGAATCAGTTATATTACTAACAGATATGGAAAAACTAATAATAAACATATGAAAACCATAACAAAGAGGAACCATCAAAGTATATTATGTATGTAGATGCCAATAACTTGTACGGATATGCCATGAAAGGTGGTCAAAGAAGAGCCACAGGTCCAATCTGGTCTGTGAAGGTCTTAAATATCGAAAAATCACTTGTGAATAAAGGTGAGCCTATTCTCTACTATCTTAAAGATGGACTAAAGTGTGGTTTCGTCAGAGAAGAGCTTGAGATTGTTCCTCCTCGAAATTAGTTACCTCCTAAAGGAATTCGCTGATTTGAGAAAAAACTATTAAAAATGCATCAAGACCCCCCGTCGTTCAAGAGAATAATATTCACATTCTCTTCAGAACTCGCGAGTGAGACATTGTTAACCTGTGTAAAAATTCAAGTTGCCTTAAAATCAAGGTTGTTTTGAAAATGCGTCAGAAGTGTTTTTTTGAAATCAAGGTTGAAATCAACCTTGATTTCGAGATTTAAAAATTCATGAGTTGCCTTGAAATCAAGGTTGTTTAAAAATGCACCATAACCCGCTTTGTATATCTACTGGCATTAATAATTGTGTTTTTGTTTATTTCGCCATTTTAATCGGTAATGTAACCTCTATACTATTCTACAGACCTTGATCCTTGCCCACTCCTCCCCAGTCTGCAAGTTTTGTGGTGGTACATTGTCCATCTACATTTACACAATCCTTGTCAATAGCCTGATAATTCTCAAGGCAAACCTCATATCCTGATGAGCTGATTATGGTCTGAGAATTTCCACAGGTTTTTATGTATACATATATATTTTTTTGCAAACTTCTGAGCAGTTTTTTTCTTTTTCTTTTATCCTGACTTCTGATGAATGCACAAAGTTCTCGTAAAATAATTGTTGTTGAGTCAGTGATTTAACAATTTTTTTTGTTACAACAATCTGTCTCATTCTTTCAGAGCAATCCTAGTCCAAAACACAGAACGCAACATGAAGACTTTCGGGCGAACTTATATTAGCGCCGGTTACATCAAGTACATAGAATCTGCAGGAGGAAGAGTTGTACCAATTCGGTATCCTTTGAACTGATTCCAAGAAAATAATAAAAAGTATATATGGTTCTTCCTTGAGAGATCATCAAACTTAATAGCAGTAATTGACAGAAAAACTCCTCTGGGAAAATTGAAGGTGTCCTATGATTCTTCGCTTAGGTAATTAATAGGCGCCCGTAAGCGAACCCAAATCAACATCTAACCCCCAAATTAACCAACACATTTCCTTTTCAGAGAAGAGCACAAAACATTAAGTTCTTTGATCACAAAATTTCTAGTTTCTTGTTGTTTCGCTTGCTTCCGTTCTTTTTTTTTTTTTTTTTTTTGAGACCTCGTTGATGGCTTTTTCCTTCCCGGCCGCGTTTTTCTTTTGCGGTGTTCAAAACAGTCCAGTTTTCCTAATAGTCTCCAAACAACTGGTTGCGCTAAAAAACCGAACCAGTGTTATACATCACAATCGGCCGAAACAGCTCGCTTGTTCAACTCCCTGCTCTAAGTAATGAAATAAATAGAGCTGTCAGTCGATAATGGGTTTCCAAGAATTTACTAGAAAATGTACTCAATTAATAGAACTATAGCCACTAATTTTGTCGATATACGCGCCACTCACCTTTTAAAATTTTTTGGCAGCTTCTGACACAAATAAAGAGCAGACGTTTTTCACTTAATAACGAATATGCAATGTATGTCAAGAACTACAGCTGCTTGAACCATTTTGTCTATCATTTTTAGATTTTATTCGTTTATGTCGTTCATGTAATTCATTGACTTCTGAAATATGTATTAAGTAGAAATGATAAATATAGCCAAGATTGAAGAATATTATTTGTTTAATACAGTTTTGAGAAAAATACTTGATATATGAAGTACAAAAGGAAAAAAGGACAAAATGTTGACAAGTAACGTTGAGATTTAATTGCCACATGAAATTCCCAATTTTTCGAGAAATATTCAGCTATTTTCAGATTTGTTATTTGCGTAATACAGAGTGACCACTCTTTAGTGCCCAAATTGTGTTAATTTTTATGCTAATGCTTTACTTTGTTACGTTATTATTTTTATTTCAGTTTTGATAATAATATTTTTTAATAACTTACCTGACTTCTCCGCGAACATTTTCTTTCTACTCTATCACGTTTGCAAACAATTTATTTTGTCTTTTCAGACTCTGCAAACAATTTTTGTAAATATTTCTCATACCCCCTCCAGAAAAATAACGGTCCGTCCCTTAATTTTTTTGCTAGTGAGACAAAAAAATATATCACCCTTTTCAATTTCACTTAGTGGGTAGTTGACCGTATATAGTCCATACACAACTATAAACGAACGTCCCAGTAAAAATCATACAAGAGTCCTCGTATAAAAAACGAGCTCTTGTTCTTGCGCCAAGCATAATTGCATTAGGTAGATTTGACTGTGTCTCTTTTTCTTTCTAGCATACGATTATCCGATCTTCGTTGTGCAGTGGCATCCTGAAAGAAACGCCTTTGAATGACCTACAAAGGCGGCCATAAATCACTCTAAAGAAGCGATATTGATTACTCAATATGTGGCGGATTTTTTTGTCAACCAAGGTAACGAGTTTTTTTGTGCTCAATGCAGCGCCCTTTGCAGCCCTTTCAGCCCCTCTTATTAAAAAATGCGCTTCTAGTGTTGTTCCACGAAAATGTGTCCTGCTATTTGGAATAGAAAGCCTCCATCCTTAATCCATCCCACAATTCTCCGCGAAATTGATATCCTTGTATTCGAACAACGTAAGGCCTTCGAAGGGTGCAAGCACGTCGGTTTCGTTAGTTGTGCTAATTATTCTTGATAATTATGAGTCATTAAGCCTTTATCGATAAATGAAATTCTAACTCAAAGATTACTCACGCAGTAAGCATTTTAAAGAACGAAGAAGATTGAGGTAGATTAAATAAAAACTTCGTGTTCATCTTTTAGCTGTCACTTTATTGCGGCGAGACATGACTTCTGGCCCAAAATGTTAAAGTTATTTTGAAATATCAGAAATAGTTAATTGAATACATAGAGGGTGGTGTACCTGTGGTTTAAGGATTGAAGTATATGGTTCCTTTTTCAGCTCGTCTGAATGGGCACAGATTTCCAAGCAAGGAAGAAGTTGCCGCCTTGATTAACCAGCATACTCCAGTCTACTGTGAACCGGACAGAACACACTTTGGGCAAAGTTATATTCTCTAGAGGTGGCTTTTGACTGGCAGATCATCGAGTGCTAAAGCGCTTGTGACATGGGTCAAGGCTAATGATCGAATAAAATTTAAAGTTGAGAGCAATTTTGAACAGAGTTTGGTAAAATAAAATGGTCACACTCTGGTTTTGCTGTTCCAGAAAACTCGCGCCACGCTTTCACAACCCCACCACCACATTGCCACATTTTTCTTTAAATAGCTATGTCATACTCTGTTAATGCACTGGTCACAACTGAAACCCAAATGGCAAGTTTCAGTCTCTAACAGCTCACTAATATTGTTATGTTAGTGAAAAATATGTGCGTTATCGAACAATTGTAAGGTCAATGTAGATGGATATTGACAAGTGTTCATTCGACTTCTTTCCGGTCCATTGAACCCATCATAGAGGACATGGGCTGATAATTCAGCCTTGCTGACCGAAAAAGCTTGTTCAGTAGGGGACTTATCACATAGACAACTATTAATATTTCGCTTTCGCATGCACAGAACAGGGAAGATAGTCCTCTCTTGCCCGCTCATTAGTTAATCAGAAAACAGGAATCCGTCTGCTCTTGTGATTATTCTGTTGAGACAACTGGAATTGCTTTTTCGTGACAAAAGCCACAAGCTAGTCAGCGTGAACAAAACCGTTCCTCTTCCACTCCTTGCCAATTTTACCCCATTTCCTTTCTTTCCATTTGGGTGTATACCACTACTCAGGGTGCATCACGCATGCACCAACTGATTATAATAATAACCTTTATTTTCTTTTCTAGAGAAAAAAACACAATCGTATACATACGACAACTTCAATGAAAAATGTTATTCATTTGTGTCATAAATAATTTATAGTCTTAACAATCAAAATAAATAGACTTTGGCAGAGTGCAAGGCTGAAATAATTATTGTTAGCAAAGCAGCAATTCGAAAACGATACATAATATTAAAAAAAACGTTCTCGATAAAATAAACGCCATTTTGTAAAGCGAACCGACGAAAAGGGTGCTGCTTAACATAATTTTTTGACCTGGTGTCTGAGTTTACCGGCACGCTGATATAATTATCAGAAGTATTCCAAACAAACAATAAATTGCATTAAGTTAACTCGTTTCGTTAAAAGATGGTATTCGTTAATAAATAGCCTTTCATTTCTTGATATAATCAATTTCGCCACCGAGGAAAAGCCTTGGTAAAGAGTTCACGGCAACAAAGTCACGGGATTTCAAAACGATAACTATTATCACAAACGTAAACATTAGTATATCCACAACGTAAGTGTTGAAGTTTCCTCAAAAGTCGAAACTTGGCAGATGCGATAACTTGGCGATAGGTTACCTTAATATCCGTTTCCTTCAACTGATGAAAATGAACGGTTGGTGAAAAGTTAAAGAGTCGAACCGTTTGGCTAAATCATGTTCGCATCCTGGTGAATGTAAAGTACACTTCCAGCGAACCAATTAATTGGAAACTTTCGTAGATCGCAAATTAATCCGCATGACAATAAATAAACGGTACTTCGATGAAAGTACAAGATTTAACGAATAAATTTCTTGTGGAGTCAAAGTACTTTTAAAAAAGGCCATTCTAAACAATAACTAGTTTGTGCCGAACATCTATGCCAAAATATTGTTGGCCGAGTTACTTCTCGAAGCCGCCAATTTTCTTTGTCGCTGGCCGCTCTTTAAGTTTTTAATGTCAGATTTCCACTGTGCTATCAGGTCCGATAAAACACGCAGACCCTCTAAAATGCCATCTCCACATTCAGCCGAGGTCGGTTGCAGATGCCACAAATGATTAGAACTGAGATTATGAAGCGATAATTTAGTTAAAATCTCCATTGGGGCTGACGCGTTCGGTAAATCTTGTTTGTTCGCGAATATCAAAATCGGTGCTCCGTTTATTTGAGCGGAGTTAACAAGATTGAATAGTTCTTCCTTCGCCTCCTCTATTCTATCCTCATTTGCACTATCAACAACGAAAATAATTGCGTCCGTTTTCCGCACGTATGCCTTCCAAAGCGGACGTAGATGTTCTTTTCCGCTCACATCCCAAATTTTAAACCTTAAGTCTTTAGACGGTCGAACAGTTTCTACATTAAACCCTGGAGTCGGAACAATTCTTTCCTTCCAGTCTTTCCACTTACTTCGATACAAAATGGCAGTTTTTCCACTCTTGTCGAGTCCCAACATGACCACATGAAATGGTCTCCGAAACTTTATTCTTGGTCGAAAGCGACGGACGGAAACTATTACCGCATTTCCCATTATCCGTTCCGTACTCCTCAATCGTGTTAAAATATCGCGATATTCAAAATAGAGGTCACACTAGTTGCTCCGTGCGAACTCTGAGAAGTAATTCGCCGCCTTTTCTCTGTTTCAACGGAAAGTCACTTGGCAATAATGCCAAATTAGGCGAAAGAAATGTTTGAAACCGAAATTCGTGCGTTAGTTTCGCATCAGCACGGGAGTGTACAACAAGTTCTCGACAATTTCCACATCTGTGCGTACTTAATATAAACGAACCTGCTGTAATATGCAAATTTCCCTAATCTTGTGTATTTGTCAAATGAGCGTCTGATTGGTTCGTGGATAAAGGCAAAATTTGTTCATTATGCGTGGACAAGGCCTGAACAAGAAAGCTCTCAAGGGTCGCAAGGCAATAAACAATTAATTTACGCAATATTTCGCGGGAATTTCTGCACTCTGTTTACTATTTCCGTATGGCATGTCACGCCACAACAAATGTACGCATGACATTTACTTCATAATGAAGTAAACCTGTCTGATGCGAATTGATTCGTTTAAGTACATGACCGAGGGCATTGCAATTATCTTAATTAGTCACTCAGAGATTCCTTCTCATCATCGGAGAACAATGAACATGGAAACCGAAACAAAATTAGGTTGTTCCACCTAAATTGCCCCAAACTAAAAATATAAGTGTGACGCTGGGGAATATTTGATACCCTCTACTTCTGGAAGCTTTCTGCAATCGCATATAATAAAACCTCCATTTTAAGTTTATCTTCTACTGTTTAAATGGTTAGACCTTATCAGCTATTCCATCTGGCTTGAAAAAATTATTGCATCAAAAAACTTGCAATAGGGGGTGAAACTAAGTATAAAAATACACATCTATTTGTTTTCCACTATTAAAACGTACCGCCTGAAATCATGTAGCGATGTATCACAATAATCTCTCCATGAGCTATAGTGTTAAAAGGGAGATTTTAGAAATTGTGTGTTGGTAGTTAATGAATCAACGAAGAGAAAATGAATGTTCAAACCAAAGACAACAGGTGGTGGTCTGTTATAGCTAAAATATGTATATTTCGATGGTTTGCGATGATATTTAAGCAAAACAACTCATGCAAACCGAACTTGTGGTGCATAAAAGTATTTCTGAATACTCACGATGTAGAGTATATCTTTCGTACTGCAATTTGTGCAAACTGAGCTAAAAAAAAATTATTTTAAGAGATGCCGAGAATCTCATAGTGAAAGCACCAGACACAATAAAACTACATCGATTTGCGGCTCAGGGTTGCGGCTTTCCTGGAGACTGAAAACACCTGTTGTACTCTATTAGTTACTAACAATGGTGGAAAACGCCATACATATATCACTTGATATTTAAGAGCCGTCAATGAGCCGGCTCCTTTCAAAATATCAAAATTCAGCTTAATAGTAGGGCTTACAGGTTCAAAAGATGGACAAAGCTGTCCGAGATCTGCCATATACCGACGGAAGCGATCTGAATCGAACGGAACAGTCCGAAATTAATCAAACGAATCAGAAATCGGACGGAACTGTCTAGAATCGGATAATACAGTCTTATATCAGGCGGATGAGTCCATAATCAGACATATCCAAAAAACACTTTAACTGAACTAGAGCCTCCATAAGAACGTAAAGCTCAAAAGGGCGGGTCATGAAAGCGTGCAAAATCAAACTAAGGCATCTGACAACGGACGGAAGCGCCCGAAATGGACTTACGAGTCCAAACTCCAGTGGAACCGTGCAAAATCGTGTGTAACCGTCCGAAGTCCTAAAGAAGCGTCGGGAATCGCACAGAAGCCTCCGGAATAAATCTGATGGAAAGACATGTTTCGCTTCTTTGCGATAGACGCTCCATCTTAGGTGATACGATTTTCTGCATTTTTTTTGACAATGAACCTGAGATTAAATTAAAAGAAGAAAGCAAATTATAAGAGGCTTATGTATTCCTTTATTTTTGAGTTTCTATGTTTTTGTCGACTTGTCCGAGAAGGGGCTTTCATTTTCTGTCAGAATAAAGTTTTTGTATTCGACAAATCATAACAAGGTTGTGCACAGTCAGGGGGGCTGTTAGTTATTTGAGATTCGGGTCTTAGCTAATCTCTAGCAGTCGGATTGTCTAATTTTGGGAATACACGGTTAACTAGACAAGCACACTGACCTAAAAGAGCGCAGAGCTAGATTTTTCGCGAAGATTTCTGTTTAAGTCCTAACTATTATTAAACAAGTCTTTCAGTTTCCAAGGTACTTTATTGTCTGTTGTATCCATTTTTGAGTTTCTATGTTTTCGTCGACTTGTCTGAGAAGGGGCTTTCATTTTCTGTCAGAATAAAGTAAAGTTCTTCTATAATCGCAGAGCCGCGTGCACAAGAAAGCGTGGGGTGATACCCTATTCTTGCAAATTGTCATCGGATGGGAAGTTTACTCTCTAATGAATTTCCGCCTAGTTCACCAGCGTATTACAACTTTAACTCTTTAAGAGTTTTAATTTGCAAGAACGAACCATCAGATGACAGTAGGATTAGGGATTAGGTAATTTAAGGGGCGATGTACTCCTAAGGAATGATTAGTGTCCAGTCTACCCACACTTGTGTCAAAATCAAACATGGCGGAGAATCTATGGCAACTGTGATTTCAATCAAAAGCGTCGTGAAGTGAGAATTTGTGTCCACCTAGTGATTTTCATAACATTTACGTTAAGAGGCCATGGAGAAAACCATTCTGCTCTATCAAGATGTTACGTAAGCTCTTATTTGCAAGGCAAGGAAGGTAAAGTTTATCAGCTCGGAGAATTCTTTATAAGCAAGAGAGCAGGCTAGGGAATATATTTTCGAGAAAGGTAAACAAATTAATTCTTGCGATCTATACTTGTCTTCAACTCACGATTCGCCTTTTGTGAGCTGTTTACGTTTTCGTTCCATATGATGACGTTCAGGATAGGCCGAGTTTGCATCTTGAAACATTTTCGTGCAGATTGTCAATGAAATTATCAGTGCAATTTGCATGACCTCTGTACACATTCATTTAACGTCGTCATCGTAAAAGGCAAGTCAATAAAAGATGGTCAACTTTACAGCTGATGGGGCAAAGGATTTATGTGCTTTGGAAAATCATTCAGCAATTTTTCACAAATCCCGTTTATCCCTTGATTATCGACGGAAGTCGAGTCTAACACATAAGTTCATTCGTCTTTAATCAAAATGAATCGGAGAGACCTGTGCAACACAACATAACCAGGTTCCTTTAGAATATTCTCTTGAAGAATTTCAAAAAAATGCATCACGTTTGGAAGGCGTCTGCAATGACCGCAAATATTTGCTCTATATAATTGTAATTATCTTACTGAACACCTGTTTATACCAGTTTTTCCTCAGGGATCCACTGATCAGTCTTTTCAGTCTTAGTAAAATAATTATTATTATCATTACTCCTACAGACATTATCAAAGTGAATGTTATTTAGAATAATTCCTCTTTTTGAAATATCATTTTGCAGGTTATACCGAGTTCATTAAGGATGGGAGATGATGATAAGCCCCTTCGCTTCACCATTGAAATCTTCAATGCCCAATTTGTAACTTCAGGAAGATACTTTTTGATTTTGAGAATAGTTGGAAGCAAGGTTAAACAGTCTAAATTGAAGCTATACGTGGGCAGTTCTGATGTAGCATTGGAGGATTATCAGTTTACTACAGATGCATGTTTAGAAGATGGGGATCCTGAGACTTTGGTGACTTTCACAGATTCAGTCATCACCTTTTGGATGCCTCCTGGTATGTTTATTGCTCTTTATCTATATTTGTCATCCAGAGTTGTTGTTAGAAGCCAACAGATGAGGGATGAAACCTACCAGCTGTCAAAACATTTTATACTGTCCAAGTGAATTGTGATCACAGACAGTAAATAGCTATGATTTGACTGATTCTAATGTCAATGTCTAACAAGGAAAAGTCACTGAAATTAATGTCTCAGAAAGCTAGAAATCATGTCTCTGAGAATTTCTAATATTTGGGGAACACACCATTCAGACCTCTTCTAAAGTGCGTGTTGCTTTGCAACGCGCCATGCTTGGTATGCAGGATTTGGATTTATCTGAATATGAACTGCTTACAAGGAAATTCTTTAGGGATGTGGCTGTGGAGGCTTCCTGTCATTTGTGTAATGTGTACAGCCTTATACTTTGTCATGTAAAACTTGTTTTGTTCAAGGTGGCATTGAGTTGTAAACAAATCTAAATATTGGTTATATTGCTTAATAAGTTCAATTTCTTTTGAACATTCAATATCAGAGAGTGTGGATGGGGATATTCAACTTGTGATTGAAGCATATCGTCTTCCAGAGAATCCCATGCATGAAGGTGACAAGTGTGGGGAGGCCGTGTTTAGTGTCTTCCCTAGAAGGGGTGCATTATTCTCAGGTGTGCGGCGGTCAACACCATCAACTAAAGATTCTAATGAACTATACCAGTTCGAGACCAACATTACACTGAATCAAGTCCAAGAAGATGAAGGACTTTGGATTAGTTGTGGTTCAATCAGGGCAGCTATGCGACTTGTATTTGAAGAGGAAGAGCAACCGAGTAAGCTGCATTTTAAATGCTTATTAATGTAGTTCTGATTTATTGGTAGGTCAGTTGGTCTGGATTGCTCTAAATGAGATTGAGGTAATCAGGTGTTGGTGCAAAATCCTGCTGTAGTTATTCTGTGGCTTTGCAGAAAGTTTTACCATTTAGATTTTGTGGAAGGAAAATGTGATTGGTGCTTGACATGTTTAAATAAAATTGTAACTCAAAGCTGAGTAGTATTCCAACACAAACCTGCATAGCTTTGCAAAGATATGAGAGCATAGGATATTTTAAAGTGGATTGTTTGTTGTTTGTTTCTTAGCCAACAAATTGCAGTTGGAAAAATTGAGTGACATGGCCTTGTCAGGTAGAAACAGCTTACTTGAACAGCAAATAACAGCAGGAAGTTTAGCCAACTTGTTCCCAGGTAGTGATTTTAAAGTACCTAAGACTGGAAAAACTTTGGAGAAAGAGCATGCCAGCAAGGAAACATTGAGAGAAGACAGAGATGTTGTAGATATTCAGTTACAGGTTTTACAATGTGAGTATTATAATGAGACTGTATGCCCATTGGAGCACAGATAGTGGATGGTTTTTAAGCATAATTTATGTAGTTAATGTTATTTGACAGAAATTGGCCTTCAGATATTTGGTTCACCTTATACAGAATATCTACATTTACTGTGAATAATCTCTCAATTTTTCTGTTCAATTGATTCCGCTACTAGGTACTGTTAGCAAAATTTGAGTAATTTTAACTATCAGGCTGTACTTGGAGAATTTTTTTAGTACTTGGAAAAGGAAGGTCAATGTGTTGCCCACTTGAGTTCAGCTTATGAAGCTTAACTATATTTGCAAGTTTGGGTTTTTTGTGACTGAGCAATAGGTGTCCAGTGGTGACTATGTCTAGAATGAATAGAATGAGATTATGATAAATGATTTTTAGTGGTTACTACTAATAAAACAAAATTCTGCCAAAAGTTTTTTTACTGTAATTGGTTTTCACTGGTAATCATGTATTGCTCAGTTGAGAACTTTTCTGGGTTGTTTTGAAACTTTTGAAAAGGCCAGACAAAGTGTATATGAGTCTAACTGGTAATAAAAATCATTCTTGCTCAGGTTACAGCCACCAAAGTTCTGTGTTATGACTTTGTTTAGGTATACATATATATTTCTAGTTAGTTTAGTGACTAAAGCTGTCAGGTTTTATTTCAAAGAATTTAAATGGTTTTAGGTACTGAGTCCTTCATAGTTCAAAAACAGGAAGATGCGGGAAGTTTAGCTAACTTTTTACCAGGCAGCAGGGATTTAGAGAACAAAGACAGCAGAACTTTAGCTACAGATGTTGAAAATGAAGAAGTGATCTCTTTCTGTGAGTTGAAACAATGGCTTACTCAATTTTCTGTAAGGTTTATAACTATCATGGTATACTGTTTGGTGCTTTTAGGGAGCAGTTAGTGTCATTTACCGATGATTTCTGAGGGTTATCGTGCAGCAGTATTATTTATTATAAATAATTTGTGGCATATCAGTTACAGTTGTGTTGAACAGAAAATTAACCTTTTTTAAAAGCCAGAACTTGTGTTCTAGGGGAAAAGGAGAGTCATTTCAGGTGTGCTCCTGATAAGATGTCCAACCAACAAACAGGAAACTCAATTGATAGCTCAGATAGTCAGATAACAAGTGGTATAGAGTTAGACAGAAAGCTTGATGTAAATGAGGTGACCAATGACAAAGTAGAAAGATTTTTGGAAGAGAAACTGACGCCACCAGAAGTTGAGGGGAGTTTGTTTAAAGCAATGCAGCCAATGGTGGACCATGTGGACAAAAGTCCATTAGAACTTGCCATAGAGAAGAGAGAGTATTTAACTGAACAGGAACTACAATATGATAGCTGTAGATGGAGAACTCCAGATAACAGGTTGCGTTTTGTTGAAAAAAGTGATGAGGCAAGAGTCGCAAATGTGAAGGAAAGAGGCAACAGAGAAGAATTTCCATCCTGCACAGAAAGACAGTCAGGTTTCAGTATATATCCTGAAGTGATAATGTTTACTTGTAAGGATGATGCGCCACTCATGAAGCTTAGATCACTTGGTTTGTGAATTTTTTCAAATGACTATGATCAACACTGTGCCATTAAGAGTAATTGTAATTGCAAAAGGAACTCCATTTGGTATCAACAGATTGAAGCTTAGGAATAAAAAGCAGCGCTAAGCAAGTGGGAAGCTGAAAAGAGGCTTATGATGCTGTGACAGATTGTTTTTCCATTGTTAGAAATTACTCCTGATTGTGAATTTTTTTTTTTTCCTGTTAGAACCTTCTAAGAAGCCACAACCAATTCAAATTTCCAGAGAACCTAAACCAGGTCCTTCAACTGCACCAGATACTCCAGCGGGGTTTAAAAAAGTGAGTAACTTTTCTCCAATTTATGCTTTATTTAATGCTTTTTAACTCCCATGATCTGATTGTTAATTCTCCCCTCTAACTGACACACAATTCCTTGTAAATAGGTTATGAGAATTTGGTGTTAGATCAAGATAACAACTTCTTTCTGATAAGTTCAAGTATTCTCACTACCTGGTGGCTGGATAATGTACATATATTATAGGAAGAAGTTACGAGTTAATCGCTTGCAGGAGTTAATGGGTTAAACAATTTTTCTTGTGCACTGACTTACATGAGGTTTTATTGAAAGTCTAAGGTAAGATGTGGGGTTCACTGTAAGTTACCTGTTTATTCTTGTTCTGTTGATGTCAACCATAAGATATTTTGAAGGCAGGTACCCCCATCCATACCTCTCACTCCTACCTCTCACTTCATGCATCCTCTTATCACTTCCTTACTTCTCATTCTTTACCTCTCCCCCCTGTTTCGCATCCCCTTTCCCTCACCTCTAACCTATAACCTTTATCATTCTCATGCCCTTTCCTCATGCACTGCCTAATCCCCATCCTCTTACATGTCACACAACCCTCCCCCCTTGCTTCTTGCTCTTCAGCCTCAGCCACTCCCTTCCCATCAACCTCTCAACCAACTCAACCTCATGTCCTATCTCCACCCCTCCCCCCTCACCTGACACAGTCGCCCTTCAATTTAGTTGCTCTCCCTGACTCCTGACCTGTATTGTTTTTTGAGGGTTTATCATACATTTCATCCAATCAGATCCAGGAGTCTGCCCTTGGTTCACATGTTAACAGTATACCTGTGCATCATCTATGTGGAAGTAACACAGCAAGAGAAGGAAAATGTGAAGTAGCAGTTCTTATTCATGGTGCTTTAGGACTGCCAATGAAATCTGATGGAAGGGTTCCACAGCCATACATTGTGGGGTGAGTTGTAGAAACTTCTGAGTGACTGGTAAAAGAACAATAGTTTGTCTGACATCCTTATATCATGTAACAGCTTATGATTATTTTATCATGCCATTGTTAGTGCTTTAAAAGTAACAATGGATATAAAGTCATTGCCAAAGACGGTAGAAACAATTTATGTAAGTACTTAATTAACTATGCAAGGGTTTTTGGTATACATGTACATCCACTAATTTGACTTTCATCTCCACCAAGTGCTGTGGAAACACTTCACTCTGCCCTTGGTTATGATCAAACAGTGTTAGTCATTCATGACCATATGTTCTTGTTACTAACATTGATAAAGGGCTATTGGAACATTTTGTTACATTGTTACAGGAAGTCCAGAAGAGCAGTGACCCAGATGCAAATGGGACAGTCAGTGACCCATGCTGTCATTCAACCAACACACTCTCCATCTTGGGAGGAACTGCTGCTGATTGAAATTAATGAAGATGAAGCTAATAATGAAGGTTTGTCTTACAAAAATTTCAAACAAGCTGTTAGCAAACTGGCATATATTTACATGAATACCTATTTTTTTTCTCACACAGCTGTTATCTTGCTGGTGGCAGACCATCCCAGCAAAGAGTTACTGACAGAGTTTACAATGCCACTCAGTCATTTGAAGCCTTTTCATCAATATCATTTAGAGTTGGTTCAGGTATTGTACACTGGTGTGTGTGAAAAGGGCATACTATTTATTCACAAATTTTTGGAAGAGTGAAGCATGCAGGTAGGTTTCCTGTGGCCATTTTCTCAGATCTGTTTTTTGACTCTGGTCAAAAGCTTGGGTGGAGGAGTGCAGGCTAGAGCTACTTGTTTATAAATTAAGTGGTGTTTTGGTAGCCATTTCTTACAGATGTTAAGTGTCCTTAGTCACTTTGAGTCATGGAATCCACGATAAATTTTGGTGATAATTGGGCCACCTGGATCCTTGTGCAGATTATTAATCTGTAGACGTTCATTTGACTCTTGTGCCTGTTTTTTTTTTGCTTTTTTCGAAAGCCCAATTCAGAACTTAGTGGTGATACAAGACTGTACATCACACTGATGAAGAAACTGGACAAGTTACCCCTTCCTTCTGTAGATGCAAAAATTTATGGCATAGAGGTAAAGCAAACACAAGAGAGTGACATTTGATTTTGGAGTGCTAGACTGGTCATCTGCTACAATGTTGACTTTATTAAAAGGAAATTTCCTGCCGTGTCCATTTTTGCTTTATCTTAGGTATTACTGAGGGGCGTGGACTCACCCATGTTGAGTCAAATGGGTCCACTAATTGCAACAGGAAGAATCGTGAATGACTGGAGACAATACAAGTAAGAATGTGTGTACCTGTACCTTTAGCTAAAATAACAACCATGCAATAACTGTCCTAATAATTTTCAAGAAGGAATCAAGTGGACAAAATAATAAAAAATCAGCAATGAATAGAGTGTAATGAAGTTACTGGTACCAAACATTAATGATCGCTGAATTTGAATAGAATAAGCACGGAATACCAATGTGTGTGATGATGATGACAGAAAATGACAACTGAACATGATGCCATAGTACGGTTAAACGACCTTAACCCTTTACATCCTAATATCAGTATACATATTCTCTATACTGTCCTCCATACAAGTCCAAGGAGGCTGACAAGGAGAATTTATTTAACAATCAAGAGCTGCTTTAGTTGGTGATCATCTCTTCTATTCTCATAATTTTCATGTTTAATTCAGGGGTGATATAGTGAGGAGAAATTAGATGCTAGTCACTCTTAGGGGCGAAAGGGTTAAAGAAGAAGTAACTATTCAAATAATTTGTTGTAAATATTTGTGACAAGTATATTTTTAAAGGATAAGCGATATGTAAACTATGAATTACCACAGAAATAGAGCACTCCTTTTTACTTTTATTATCTTGCTCATTACTTTACCTCTCATTCATTCCTGACAAATGTTGTGTTCATCCAAGGGAAACCATGTTATCAGCCCAGCCCAGACCAGCTGGGATAACGGTGACCACCATTCACTTCCCATCTCCACACCCAACATCGTTTGCCATAGCAGGAGCAGCAAATGAGTATGGAGCTCCACAACTGACAACCACTGCTGGGCCCCAGGAACAGCCACAGTGGAACCAGACTATGTTTTTCCTAGGGGATAAATCAAGTTTATTCACTGCTGAATCAGCTTTAGTTTTAGAATATTACCCAGCTTCACTAGGTAAGATAATAGTGATGCACTTGTGTTACAATTAGATACTGCTTTGTAGAAAACACAGCTTAGTGGTTACTAAACTGTTCTCTTGTTATGACATGTGATTTTGAGACCCGGTGAGGATTATTGTGGTGTGTTCTTGGTCAGGGCACTCTATTAGAAGTATAGATGGGTACTGATGAATTGTCAGGGAAATTTTTTGAAAGACTGGGACTAGCTTCCCATCTAGGGGAGAAACAATACTCCAAGATGTTATGGAAACCAAGTTGAGATGTGCAATTAATAGGCTGCTGATCCCTAAGACTTGACTTTTTCTATTTTGACCAATTGAAAAGGCTGTTATGTAAATCATTCTCACCTGTTTATATTGATCACCTGATATTCAGGGTAGGAGTAGGTTGGGATAAGATAGCAATAAACATAGCTCTCTATGTTATGAGATTTTGCTCTGGTGTGGTAGGCCACTTGAATTTGTAAACAAATTTGCACATGACTAAAACTGGTACTGTTGATTATATTGAACAGCAATGACCAGAGACTGTTGGCAGCTAACCAGCCCTGTTGGTTACTCCTACCAAACAATGGATCAGTTGCTGCTTTCCAGCTTGCAGTGGGACAGTGCAAAAATGGGGCTAAGGGTAGATAATCTGCCAGTTGAGGTGAATTACTAGGATTCTTTAGTTAACTATGTCACATATATGTAACCTTATTATAACGGTAACAAAGGGGTGATGAAAAATAAAAAGAAATCTGAAGTGTTGCAAGGATTTGAATCTCTCACCTTCTGATTTTATCATGGTCTCTTTCACAAAACTGACTGCAAAATGACCACAAAATTAGGAGATTGAGGTTTGAATGGTTGTGGATTCAAAAATGTTTACCTGTTCTACCTCACGTGACAAGTGTCAAACATCTTTCCTCAATTAGTTCTGTCTGTAATATAAGAAAGTTTTAGACTGAATTTTTTAAGGCAAGATTCAAAACTGAAACAAATTGATCAATACAGTTAAACCTACATGACATGAACAAAAAGTTAAATAGTATGAACTAGGACAAACACTATTAGCAAAAGTACTATGTTCAGTTTTTTTTTAATTATTTTCTTATTGCTTTACTCTGTTTTCCTATAAATTAAAGGGAGTTCTGTGGACCTTAAGTTCCTCCAGAATCAAAATTTTTGTTACTAGGCACTAAGGAAAACTTGCTTGCTGTTGTTTTAATTTATGTTTTTAATGTATGTTTGTAGGGTTCTAATCTGAGAACTGCTATTGGCTTAGGCCCCACAGTTGGAATGGTACTCAGACTTGTCACAGATGAGGTATGTAAAAATATTGCTGTATACAGCTGGTAAAGAGTTCATAAATATATTTATAAAATAATTCAAATAGTACGCGCGCTCCGATTGGCCATAAAACCATTTTACATGAGCGTATGTAAACACGGTTTTCGTTCCTCTTTCATTAGTTATTTTATAAAAGACATGTAAAATGGTTTCTGTGTTTACATAGCCTGATGTAAACACGCGGGAGGTTGGGAGAACACTCGATAAGCTGGAAACCACTCCGCTTCGCGTCGTGGTTTCCTACGCTTATCTCGTGTTCTCCCAACCTCCCGCGTGTTTACATCAGGCTATGTAAACACGGGAACCATTTTATATTTCTTCAATATATATATATTTTTTGGTCAGTTTTACTGACTGAGGAAGATTAATCTATTAATAGTTGTTTGATTAGAAGATAGATGAATCTTCCGTTTATCAGTGCTATGAATTATGTTTTAAGAGGTCTGATACCTTACAAGGGAGGAGGGGGGTAGTAAGGTGGCAAAATTTCCTTTCGCGTCATGCTTAAGAAACCAGAAACCATGGCAATTTGAGCTAATTGGCCCGTATGTAGACTGTAACTTTCCTTCAAGGGGTTTCTTATGGTATGTTTTTGCCGTGAGTTGGTTACGTATCACACTAGTACAAATCACATTGAAATTGGTTTCTCGTGGTTACAGATAGGGTCGTTTTGTCACTCACACATGCTTTTGTCTTACAGAAACCTGACCAGCTCTTGTCTGCCGCCCACTTGTCTTCATTACCAGTTTTCAGGGAAGGACCTCAAGCAGCACCTCATGATGAGCCTGTACAGGCAGAGAATTTCGGAAAAGCAGGACAGGTGGTTAATTTATAATCTTCCTGTCGTGAATTTGATTGGTAAAGATGAATTTAGCTTAATTTTTTTCACAAGTATGACGCGGACAGAAATTTCCGAATCCATAAAAGAAGTGAAACTAATGGCCTCTCCTCCCCCAAACCGATGAGATGCCTTGCCAGTAAGTTAGAAGGATTACACGCCTTGATGCCCTAACCGGCTTCAAAGTTAGCTGGTTTCCAGTTGCCAAGGCTAGGTAAACATGACTCTTCAGTAAAGATACTACACAGTGGAAACATACGTTGAGGAACCAGGGTCAGATTCACTAACTTATTCCGGTTTTTTCTTTTCAGGCACCTTATGGGCTTCCTCCAATGAATGCAGTCAAAAAAATGTTGCCACAATTTCATTCTTTATACACTGCGCCAAGAAATGAACCAGTCAAAGAATATGTGCCACTGGGGAAATTATCACCTCAAGAAGGGTGAGGCTTTAGTGAAGTATTTCACTGCTGGAGCAGATATAGACGGTGCACAAGAAAGGGCTGACATATCATGGTTAAGGCATCGCGTTACTTCTTTAACATCTATTCAAAAGACCCCTCGTGATTTAAAGAAGAATTTTAAAAAAATAATAACTGGGGACAACGAATTCACTAGCTCCCCCTTTTATATCGGGTATTTATGGTGTGCTTAATATGATGTCAAGTACGGATGTTGTCGTCGTTTGAAATTGACTCTCGTTCCTGATCTTCAATTCATCTGTGTACAATCCCGGTACAATTTCCATGCAGTCACGAAGTGGTATGAATTGTTCTGTAAAACCAAAAACTGAAAAAAAATTTTTTTTGCAGCAACATAAAAATATATTTACTCATGTACATCAGATGTATGGCAAACCAACCACCCCCGTACCCCTTCCTTTCTTACTTTCACGGACTCAGTGAGGAGGGGGGATCTTTATGGTCTCATTGAGGCTAAGCCAAATGAGATTCTTTTAACTCGCAAGCTTCTTTTACGAGGTTTCCATTTGGTACTCTCTTTATTAGAACCGTTGATGCTTATGGGTCAAGCCAGATTCCTCCGGAGGTGAGCACTTTTTACAAACAGATTGAAGCTTCAAATCTGCTTTCCTTAAGTATATTATTTTGCATATGATCCCGAATATTTAAACAAGAAAGCAAAGTAACGCAAAGAAATGTAGTTAAATTACTATTGTAGCTCTGTTGCAACACTGCATATTTTATTTTGTGTCGTGAAAGGTAAAATTTCCTTGATGTAGCAGTGTAACAAATTACCCCACACGACTGAAGATTATCTGTAACGGTTGAATTGGCCTCGTCTCGGTTATAGCAAGATGAACATCTTAATGCAATGATAGATTTATCTTGAACAGAATACAGTGATGAGAATTTGATGTGGAAGTCTTTTTCTTTCCCTTTTTTGGTTGTATGTTAAACGTTCCTTCATTTTAAGGTCAGAGGCAAGCTTGATGCCAACAGTCTTGCTGTCATGGATTACCAAATGAAGGTATAGGGGTAATTTCAGTATCCAAAAAGTAGGTTAAGATTCATTTTTCGTTATTGGTCATATCGATAGTGAACGTGCATAAATAAGCCGATGGTTTTTGAGAAAAAATGTGAAAATATTTCCCAAAAGTAGTGCTACATTCTCAACAACATAAATGGTTATTGCCATCAGAAAAAATTTCTAAATGTCTAGTATCTCGATATACAGTATTATTGAGGAACTAAAGCACACGTGTTTTTCAGACGACGAGGGTAAGCGGAAGTATAGAGTTCTTTTCCTTGGTGCTTGTTAAAGAGCTTGGTCTTTACTGTTTAGTTTAAAATGCTGTAGCCATGGCTTTTCAGTTTTAACGTTGATATGGAAGCACGTCAGAAGTGTTTGAATTCTCCTTTCAGTCGCTGTTTGTGTCAGGAAAAAGATCTGTGCTGAAGTTCCATCAGTTTTAAGGATAGCATGGAATGTTCTGTAAAGGTCAATTTAAGAAAAGAATAAAGATTTGTTTTTGTAAAATACGTTGAGACAATATCATTAGCATTTAGACATGTTGCTTCTTGTGGGATTTGCAGGAGGTGGATCGCTACAGAACAGCAATGAGAAAAATGGCAGCTGATCTCCTGCATGTGCGAGAGGATTGCAAACGTTTAGAGGTGATTAGTTGTTGAGTAGTAGGAACCGTCTGGTTTTAGTAAGTAAGTTTAGTGTGGTAAGATGAGTTGATAATTTCAACTCGTTGTTTGCGCAAGTCCAGCCCAGCGAAAACGTTGTTTTCATTTCAACCACTTTTTTATTGTAGAAGGCTTGTGTGCCTCTAGGTTGCGATAAATTTTTAAATTATCAAGGGGCGATCAGGTTAAGAGAGAAAGTCCTAGAATGTAGGCCTTCATTTATTCTCAAGGTGATATTTCTCGAGCACTTTTTTAGATCACTTTCGAGGCTGGAAATTCTAATCACGTATGGCGAGTTTTGCTCGTGCGCACAACCTATGGGTAAACGTTGACGGGTAAGTCAAGAAGCCTAGGTTGAATAAGCTACACTGTATTGGGGCCTTAAGTTTATTTTTAGTTGTAATTGATGCTTTCAGGAAGCTAACAGTAGGCTAAGGAGAGAGTTGGGCCAACATGACGAGATATCCAGGTTGATGGTCAGCTCCAAAGACTTAGATAATGTGACACATTCTGAGCTGGTACAGAAGTTTGGTAAGAGTTGCTGTACCCTTGTTCTCGGCCGCTATGAAACACAACGTCGTCGTTGCCTAAAACAGTTACTGTTAAAGTTTTCTTACAATTGGGTGAAAGTCCAATTGAATGAGAAGCAGCTTACACTAAAATAACGGTCTTGAAACTTTTGTGTTTTACTTCAAGCCATGTTTAGCAAAATACGTTCCTCTTCTTACCTTGTAGCCCGTGTCCTCGCACTTGTTCTTGTTCTTGTTCACATGTTAAACCCTGATTTTATTTAAATCACAGACCAATGCTGTCGTTTTTTATTTGCATAGAGTAGTCGTGTTAGTGTTCTCTGACAAATACTATGAAATGCTAGACTGGGTCTTCGTGTTTGACGGGTTTCATTCTGCTGAGGACTGACACCGCAACATAACTTTCTACTTTCTGAATTTTCGTACTTGCAGTGCTCCTGAAAAAGAAGTTGGCAGATGAATCCGCAAAGAAACAAGAAATGAAATCAAGACTTCAACATCTTCAGAATGATCTTATCAAGGTGGCTTTATATTGTCTCTGATTTACTCATAAGATCCGATAAGTGATTCTCATGCAGGCTTTCTAGCTGCTATCTCCTACCTTATCGCCAGCTTGTTCGTTAACGTTTTGAAATTATTAGCTATGACATGTCTAATACTTCTATACACAAAAGGCTACGTTTGAAAGGGCAATCTCACTCAGAATTTGCATGAGATATACTGACGAAGTTATAAATTTGCAGAAAAATGAGATGGAGAAGGATTTTTTGAAATTACAAGAAGCTCACGAAGGACAACAGGCACTTCTACAAAAGTTGCAGGTGAGTGGGATACACTACAGCAAATAGACGTATAATTTTGTTAGTTCTTGTCGCATTTGAGAAAGAAGTGCTGGTAATCTGTGAACATAACTTAATTCAACGTACCGTAACAGCTCCGCGCAATGGTGTCAACCCTAAATAGCGTACATTTTAAAGAGTGCTGTTTTCATTCATAGTCTAGAATTGCCATCGTGATAATTTGCCGTACTTTTCTTGATGAGATAGTTTCCACGACCTGAAAAAGGGATGGAAAAGACATATTAAAGAAAAAGTGCTAGAATGTTGCTTGTAAACTTTGTAGTGTGGTGGAATTTCTCCTATTACCCTGGTCAAAAAGTTCTGTCGGTGCAATTGTAGGGTCCAATTTTCTTTTAAACTCCCACAACCACTCCTTTGCTCCACTCATTATTCTGGTATTTAATTCTACTTGTGTCACCGTCTTTTGCTCACACATGTACAAACTCTATGTTTGGGTTGAAAAAACTGATCTGGAGTGTCTTCGCTGGCAGGGAAAGGTACAAAAGGCACAGACGATTCAAGATACCTGCAAGAAACAAGAAAAGGTGAAAAACCATCGAGCGAGTTTGTGAGACTGAGTTGTGAACCTTCCAGAAAAAAGGCGACAGTTAATGTTTAAATACGCATTCCTTGTAGGTTATTGTACAACTCGAGCAGCTTTTGGCCCAAAAGGGAAAGGGACCATACAATGGAGGTGAGTTACCTTTGAAACGCACCTGTATATCAAGATGAATTACATTTTTTATCAGTTTATAATAAAGAAACTTGTACGAGAATGATTATAAAAAAAATACTTGTGTTACAAGGGCGAGTCCAAAGAGGCAAAGTTATTAGTTTTCAGAGAAACTATTCCGTTGCAACGAAAGGAGTCTCGGTTTCAACTATTCACACAGAATGATTGTCTTCGGTTGGTAGCATAAAGCGAAACTAAATTGATAGCCGTTGGAGCAGAAGATCACATGCGCTTGGTATCTCATCCACACCTACCACACCCTTATACCCAACATGATGTTACTTATAAGGCAAATCATAACTCGTCTTTATTCAACGATCAAGCTCAAAATTTACCATCTTTCTGCATATATTTACCAACTATAATCTCCAACTAGTCTCTATAGAAACTGGCGAGACTTACAGAAAACTCAGTGAAGAGAATATCAGACTACAGGCAGAGGTTTTGCAGTACAAGGTACTCATAAGTTTTATTATAGTGTTTTTTAGTTTGACCTGTTTTGGGGATGCTAAACACGCGGAGGTGACACTTTTACCTTGAAAACACGCACACATTTGAAGCAGTGGGATAAAACAAGGCCTGGATAGCGCCAAATAAACCTCTGAATGTGTTGTAATATATCGAAAATGCCCCGTTTAGTTTGAATAACGCTCATTCTTCTGAAAACTACTTTAAGATATCAGTGCTCCTTCCCAATCCTCTATCTTTTAAACGCCCTGTGCGTAATAATCGCCCCCCCTTCCTCAGGGAGGCGGTCAGTGGACCCCATAGCCAGAAGCGTTCTCAGCAAGGTATGAAGAGCACACAGTCACTAAAGAAATCAATCGGTTGACACCTCTGGCTCTTGGTCAATTAAATTAAGGGAATGTAAATTGCGCATTTTGTTCAATCTCATGTTTAAAACGAGGATTGTACATTTTGCATTTCTCAGGAGCAGATCAAAATGGATCAGTTTACTAAATCCCACTAAACCCATCGTCAAACTCACTCTATTTCCTGTCAATATATATTTATTATAGGATATATATATATATATCCTACTGATCAAATAAACATGGTTTGTGTCCACTGAATTTTTCGGTGGAAGGAAAGCTACTAGATAATTTGTTTTTCTCTCGTAATCAGGAGCAGTTGAAGGCAGCCGAAGCTAAGCTGAAGAAACCAAGGTATGTAACTTAATTTTTCAGTACACATGCACTTTCAGCCATCTTACATCGTTCGGTGATAATTGGCCTCTATCCACTTTTGAGAACTTTTCAGCGTGAGGTTTCCAGTCGGATTGCGGCTTCAGCTAGAGATAACGTTTTGGACCCTACTACTAATCCTCTGGATTCGCCGACGAAAGCGGCTCTTTCATCTGTTGGGATCGTTAGTTTTTAACCTTATAAGAGTCAAAGTGATTAGAGAGGGAATAAATGCCTGGGAGACTGTCACGAATTTACCATGGGAACTGAACCTTTCATGTAACTACCAGTTGAGGAGGATACGTAGTGGTGACTGACTGCTTGTCTGATTTTGTTTCAGATCACCAGGAGAACAGCGAGTGGTTGGTGCAAGTGTAAGTGCGTCACTCTTGAATCAAAGGCATTTTATTACTAGTTAACTGGTTTCTTTAACAGGGAAGTGTTCAGTCAACACAAAGCTTTCACTGAGAGAGCCACGCTATGGATGTGCTTTCCAAATGTTTCGGCTGCCCATTAATTAGTGGAAAAAAACAAGTTCTCTGCGAGTGGCGTAAAGTTTCAATTGAAAATTTATAGTGGGCCCTTGGCTAAAGATGATTTTTGAGTAAGTCTAAGGTTAATACGTAGTAATTTTGCCTTGAAGATCGAGAAATCTTCTTAGCCATAAAGGCAGATGGATGACGAGTTTTGAGAGTGGAAATCTCGATCACTCCATGGAATTCCCATTTTGTTCACTGGACAGTAATGATTACAGTAGTATAAACACTTTTAGGGAAAGAGGTGTAGGGTGAGATCCACTTATTTTTTTCATTCCAAAGGTTTTACTTTCGCCGTTGACAGAGTTCAAATGTTTTTAAAACATGACGAGACTTGCATTGCGCAAAAGTCTAATTGAAATGTCTGTTTGCAGAATGGACCGATGTCAGACATGGAACGACTGGAACTTTTTGAAAAACTAGAGAAAGCGGAGGGACGGATTGTTGCTCTTGAAAAACAGGTGAAGCACTCAGCTGCATTGTTTCACTTTTTGGAAGTGTGGAGGTTTGCTTTATCTGACATGTCATAAGGTGGTCAAAGTTTTTTTATTGAATTGTTCATTTTATCCTTTGCTATCCTCTGCTAAGTCCACTCAGTCATTCGGGTGGGAAGACAAGAAAACTGTCTGATAGACAAATGAATAAAGGGGGTAACTTTCTAAAGAAACTGGTGCTGCGTCGGTGGGAGAGTATAGCAGGTAATGTAGTGTTCACAACTGAGTTGAAAGCGTAAATTGGCCACCATAAAGAGTTCAAAGGCTGACGTTTCGAGCGTTTCTTGTCGCTCTGACGAAGGGCTAACGCTCAAAACGTCAGCCTTTTAATTCTTTACGGTGGCCAATTTACGTTTTCAATTCAGTTGTTAACACTGAATTGTCTCTTAGACGGTCAGTCACGATGGATGGCTGGTTGGCAGGCTGTAGGCCGTCAGACAGACAGACAGACTGAAAGACAGGCAGACAGTCGAACACACAGACCAACAGGCAGGCAGACAGACACTTACACAGAAAATTAATATCTGGTTAAAAAAACTGAAAAAACAGCGCAGAGATGTAATAAACTTAGCTCTAATATAGTTTCCTTGGTTTCCTTGCGTTGTCTCTGTAGTTGGCAGATAACGTCAGAAAATGGGCAAAGGATAAAGCCGACCTTCAGGTGACTATTTTTCTCATCTTGGAGTGACAGTGTTGGCACATTTTTTTTTTTTGGTCTAAGAAATCTTTTGGTCCACCAAGTCTTGGTTCTCTGTATCTATCAACATTTAAAGTTACCTATCTATTTTCTTTCCGAGGCGTATATTGTTTTAAAATTACTATGGATAGTATCAGTTTTGCCGATGTTCCTTCCAAAATGGAAAGGAGAAGTCAGTGATGATGTGTTGTTTGAGTAACTTTGTGTTTTATTTACGCAGATGAAATTAAACGAAAGTCAGGTCGCTCAGAGGACAGGATACAAAAATTCTTCCACTTCTGTAGATATTCTGGACTGGGTTTGTATTAGTTTCCTTCTTCTTTTTCTCCAAGTAACTTTTGTAAGACTTCAAACTAAGTGGTTGCAGATATAAGAGAAAAACTTGTGTCTGAACGCTGCCTCAGTATTGTTGTGAGTGACCGTGATAGTGCTAGTATCTCACACATATTCATCTTCTTGATCTCAGCTGGAACATGAGAGCCTACTTTCTATCCTGGCCTTTGTTCTGTCTTAACTAAGTGGCAATACACAAGAAGTTTGTTTCCTTGAAGATCGGCTTGTTCTGCTGATCGATAAATAAAGTTATTGTTGCATATACCTCATGCATTTTTCTGTCTAGTTATTATGGCTGTTTGGGTAAACAATACGTATAGGGGTGTATGAAAAGAGTTTACAAAAGCCAGGGCCGAGATCTTGTGACGAGAAAGTTACCCATCTATATACTATTAACTTTTAAAGATTTACGTAGAAAACCTTACGTTATGAAATCCAGACCTTTAGGACCAACTGTAAATCCACACCGATGTTTAGAGTTTTCATTATTCCACAGCATAATGGACCAAAGCCAAATTCACCTTCAAGACACTTGGGTCCGCGACGACCGTCACCTAAACTGGATCCTTTGGAGAGAAGATAGCATTTAGAACTTAGCCAGTCTTAGTGGATTATTTCATGATCAGAGGACACTGGGCTCCAGCTAGGCACCAACTATCCCGAACGCCAGTCCAAGATCTGAATATTAATTTTCCTGTCTAAACCATGCATTCTTTGTCGAGTGTTCCTCGGAATTTGTTTTTATGTCTAGGTAGTAATCCCCGACTTGATTAGAGCGCTTTTCAATCGAGTGTCGTAAATCCAAAACCAAAGCAAGAAGAACTACCAATCAGAATCAAAGAAACTATCGCAAATAGGAGCCAATGAGTGCTCGAGGCAAAAACAAGTAAACTGCCCGAAGAGCGGGAAAACACCAGTCACCAAGCTAAGATTGGTTTTTTGCATCTGATTGGTTGAGAGGATAGCACAAGTGTTCTTTACCAATCACAGAGCGAAATAAAGCAAAACCAAAAGTAATCTCGAATGTCTTTCGACTCTCAATTGAAAATTGCTCTGTAATTCGACCATCATCACTTATTTGCTAAACCTCTGTGATGTTAATTTAAACAATTATAGGAATAGGAGGTTAGTTGAGCCGTCTTTACGAAAGGCCTTACGAATTTTTTTGTCAAGAATTTTTTGGGACTCACCGAAAATTCCTTAAATCTAAGAAATGGCGGGTTAGAAGTTGAATACATTTACGATCTGTGTACTTCACTACAGATCTCTAATAACAACCGATTCACCATCGTGGAAGTCGGGAATAATCATCGTAGCGGGGAATGTTTCATAAAACTGAATTCCCAAAATTCGCTTATTGAAAGTTTCTTCAGGCTCTGAAGAAGGGTGACATGACGTCAGTTCTGAAACATTATGATTGATGTCATGGTTATAGTTTCTTCCTTATAACTCATTAAGTTATTTTCTACAAAGTGTTCAAATGTGTGCAATAAAAAAGAAAATCTGATGAAGCAAGTAATTATCCATCAACTAAAGAATTGGATGGGGTTGAGAATACGAAGTAAGGATTAGAAAAATACATATGTTTATTATTATTATTATTATTTCTATTATCACTATTATTATTATTAATAGTAGTAGCAGCAGCAGCAGCACCAGTAGGAGTAGCAGCACCAGTAGCAGTTGCAGTAGCAGTAGCAGTAGCAGTAGCAGTAGCAGTAGCAGTAGCAGTAGCAGTAGGAGTAGCAGTAGTAGTAGGAGTAGCAGGAGTAGTAGTAGGAGTAGCAGGAGCAGTAGCAGTAGCAGGAGTAGTAGCAGTAGCAGGAGTAGTAGCAGTAGCAGCAGGAGTAGCAGTAGCAGTAGCAGCAGGAGTAGCAGTAGCAGCAGGAGTAGCAGTAGCAGTAGCAGTAGCAGTAGCAGTAGCAGTAGCAGTAGTAGTAGCAGTAGCAGTAGTAGTAGTAGTAGTAGTTGCGCAATTATTTTTCCCTCTTTGTGGACAGCCGTTGTCGTTGACTGCAATGATTTGTTCATTTAGGCTGTACCATTTCCGATAAAACTTGTTCATTCCTGTTTCGTGTATCTACTAAGTCTGGTCAACTAGGGTTAACAGACAGTTTCTTAATTGTCCAAGCCATTGATCTTTCATTTTACCAAAGGCGCGTGGTTCATATATCTTTCTTTTATTTATAGTCTCGTACACCTCATGCTCTTCATACCCTCCGCATCAAGTAGATAGCGCAGTAAGTTTTGCTAACACATCCGTTGGATAGTGTGATGCGCCTTTTGAACAACTGAGCTCTGAATAATTTACAATGAACAGACGATGATCGTGTAATATTCTATTCAATAGCGTGTTGTAAAAAAACTGTTGAAATTCTCGCGCAGTCATTGATCTAGGGCCATTTTTATTATAAAAAATAGATTCCTCTCTTCAATATTAGATCATAGATAACGTCAAAATGTGTGAGAACAAAACAGCGGCAGAGGCGTAGCCGAGGCCCCTCCGAAAATAACAAAATTTTAGACCAGCATTCGGCTTTTATTCAAGTTAAAAAAAGAATATTTCTGAACACGATGAAAGAAAACGCCAAGGACAGAACAACGATCGACAAAATGGTTCTTTCAGGGAACTATATTCTACGTTGAGCATATCTGATATAATTATTTGATAGGCTACCTCGGATCTTCGGATACTTAGACTATGAGAGACATGAGAGGATGTGCAAACTTCTGTAAGTTTCTTTATGCAGAGAAGTGAGATTGATCGTTAACATGATGTTAAAAAAGAAAGAAGTACATAAATACACTTGTCCGAAGATATCGAAACGGTTACTAGGCGGGCCGACATCTCGCTTCGAAGCGTCCACATTTACATGGATCCCTGTTGAACCGCTGAACAGATCGTGGGTTACATCTGTAGGCACAACTTCCGTATTCATGGGCGTTTACGATTTGTCTTCTGGATTGTTTCTGACCACATGCCTTGAGGCTATTAGATCTTTCCGAGTAATAAACAAATGCATCAAATAAGGAAGATAGAGTCAGACGTGGGTTGTTCTTTGGAACTTCCGCCGAATGCAGTATTTAGGGGATTGAGATCTACCTATTGGTGAAGGAAAACGTAGCGATAATAACCATGTCGTCTTCCGAAGCAGCGAATGCTGCAAGTAGCCACCAGGAGCAGAGAGAGCAGAAGGTTCTTGATGTCATGTTTCTCTGCGACGAATGGAAATCTTCGAAGGGTGGATTATCGACTTTCAATCGAGAATTTGCCATTAATTTGGCAGAAGCGACGACTGGTAGCATGAAAATCCACTGCTATGTCTCTAATAGCGATGATCAGGACAGAGAAGATGCTGAACAACATGGTGTCAATTTAATCACAGCTCGAAGTGTTCCTGGTTCAGCCGACCCCCTCGAGTGCTTGAAGTTTCCACCCTCAAAGCTCCCAAAGCCACATCTGGTAATAGGCCATGGAAGAAAGCTGGGTAGTCCTGCTTATTCCCTTGTACAGATTACAAAGTGTTAATGGATCCAATTTGTTCACGTCTATTGTGAGGACCTTGGGAAATATAAAGAATCTGCTACGGCTGCAGAAGATACAATCGAAGAGAACGAGGAGAAGCACAAGATGGAAATTGAGTTATGTAAAGCAGCGGATGCAGTTGTCGCCGTTGGCTCCCGTCTACAACAGAAGTACAGCAGACGTCTCCTTAATGTTGAAGTGAAGATTATCACTCCTGGGATTTTTGGAAAGTTTTCCAGTGAATCAAAGTTGGCTGTAGACAGATCGGTAGTAAAGAATTTCAACGTGTCTATGTTTGGCCGAGCTACCTTCGAGGATCTTTCCCTGAAAGGCTATGATTTAATTGCAAATGCCATTGGTTCTCTTGGTAAGAACTTTGAGTTGACATTTGTCGGCTCATCTCCCGGTGAACAACGAAAAGTCGAGCAATGGTTTCTTGACAACACGTGCATCAACCGCAACCAACTAACCATCCGTCGATATTGCAGTGAACAAGAGGAACTCAAAGTGATGTTCTATCAGTCAGATTTGGTTGCTCTGCCATCCCGTACCGAAGGATTTGGGCTTGTTGCCCTCGAGGCCATTTCGGCTGGTATTCCAGTACTCGTTTCTGATGAATCTGGCATAGCTGAGGCTTTGCAGAAAGTAGAGGGTGGAAACACTGTCATTGTTGGATCAGGTGAAGATAAAGATGAATGGGCACGAAGGATCAGAGAGATGTATGAAGAAAGCGCAGAAGAGAGAGAAGCCAATGCTGTGAAGCTTCGCGAGAACTACAGGAAAGTTTACTCTTGGAAAGCAGAATGTGAGAGGTTTAAAGGGCTGATTGGAAATGTTGTGAAAACTGCAAATGGTGAGCCCACTTCTTTTAATTTTTCTTTTTTTTCAGTATATTTGCTGAAATGTCGTGCTACATGTACAAGCTAAACCTTATGTGTAGAATGAGCCACATAAGATAAACTGAATACTGGTACATGTAGATAAGCATACGAACAAGTAAAGTGCTCCTGTATGTCCGGAGTTGTTACATTTATCTCGACTTGTGGTTGTGCCACAAGTGAATTGTCTTCTTTAATTTTTTTTATATTAAATAGAGGGGTATGTATCTTGCACTAATCAGATTGCCACTTAAAAGTATGTATCTCACACCAATCAGAGTGCTGCATGAGGGTATTTATCTTGCACCAATCAGATTGCTGCATAAGGATATTTGTCACATAAACTGCTGTGTTATGCAAGGATTTTTGGCCCTGAGAAAAGCTGTAACAACACATGTGAAAAAATATTGTATTTTTTCACATGTGTTGATATAGTCAATCAGTTGCATGTCAGTTGCCTTTGGCACCACTCAGTCAGGTTGATGAATGAACGGCAAAGCCTTCATGATTCTCAATACAAGTTGTTTGTTGGAGTTTTCTCTAATTATGGCAGCTAAAACACTTAAAAAATCCTTATTGCTGGCAGACAATGAGGTTCAAAGTTTCCTAGAAAGGGAAGGAAACCAATATACTAAAGAAAAACCGAAAGTTGTGTATTCAGTGGCTTTGGTGTTAGCATTTCTCTTGTCTGAGAATGAAAATTGACAACTGGAAGATATGCCATTAGCTGATTTTGGCTGTTTACCTGAAAGACTTCTTCTGTCGGTAAGGACAGCATTCAAAGTGCAATCAGAACATACCCAATAATAGCACTACATGAACATTGGGTAATTTTTCATGTTCTAGAATTGTACTCCATCAATCAAATTCCATTTTACCTCATTAGACTTTGCTCCATGACATGTCATTTCCCTGTAAAAAACCTGCATTTTATCATGTATTCTCACTGCATTTTCTGACCCCGCTAAAAGAAATTCACATAGAACAAAATGAGATTGATAGTGAACTTTCCTTGCAATTCTCCCATGTTTTGAATTTGTCTACAAATAAAATTTGCTTTTAGCTACCTTGGACTTAACCCAATTGCATGTCAATTCATTGTAAACAACCTTCGTTTTATCATGTAATTCACACACAGAGGACACAGTCTAGATAGGCAACAGCCAATCAGGGAGCCCTCTTTGAATTATTATCCTTTTCTCTTGTTCAATGTATCTTCACTTAATCAAGATTGTAATTATATATCTTTGGCCAGGGTCCATTGGAGACACAACAGAACTTCAGTGTGCTTTTTGTATTAAAATTAGATGAAATCCTATTTTTGGGACAACTAACTGTAGACGAGTAATTTTGATTTTCTCTCCGCAAGAGGAACAGCAGTGAGCATGGTCTCTTTGGCAACCATTATTTGGTCTCACATTTTAATGGTTAAATAGGTAAGAGGTGAAAAAACCTTGTTATAGTAAGATTAAATTTGACTGTTACAATTTAACAGGTGGTAAGTTGAATGTTAAGGTTGCAGTGGATGACTTGAAACCTGAAGAACAGAATATGCAGACTGGCATGTTGGCAACAGAGTCTGCCAGATGTCAAGGGGTTCAGCAGCCTAGGGCATCTGCTACATCAACTGCATCTGGAAGTGTGTCCTATTCACAGAAAGAGCATCTCAATGCCCTTGAAAAGGAAATCTTTCTATCAATTGTGCAAAATTATCTCAAGACCACACCACCACAGTCCCCTGAAGAGCACAGTAGGTTCATGGAATACACACAAAAAATGAAGCTCATCATTACTGGTGTTGCTGTAGGAAGTTTGGTGATAACAGTGAAGTGTGAATCTCTAATGATATTGGAGGAGTTGTGGACAGATTACTCATCTGGTCATCTTGGTGAAGTGGTTCAGAATTGTTTTGTCACTGAAAAGATCTTGAAGGAACTGAACCTGGCTGAGCTGAGGCTGAAGACAACAATAGACATAGAAGAGTACAATGCATGCAAAACGTTCTTTGAGAAAGATGCTCTTAGAGGTTGGTAGAAAGAATGTAACAAGGCCTGGTCCTATCATAAAATATTTGTAAAGAGTTTTGAATGAAATCCATCAGTCTTTCAACACATGGAGTATGGTAGGGTACATGTCATTAAGGGATGGGTGCAGTTTTTGATCAAGATTGATGGAACTTGTCTCTGAATAAACTCACGCTGACTATTGTATGTAAATCATGCTGATGCAAGAAGTAATTTGTCTGCAAGACATTCAATTTGATGTTTTATTCTTCTCAAACATCTCTTCCCATTAACCTTTTATCTTTCTTACTAAGACATGTGGCTCAATATTTCCTCTCTATAGGGTTGTATTTATCTTTCCTTAATTTATTTGATTGCATCCATTAATCAAAGGTTAATTGGCAAGAATTTTGTTGGAGGGACCATAAAAGAAAATTTTTTCTAGTTTTTGCATGTTGGGTGTTTTTAAAGATAGTTTGAGGCGTATTTATCTTTTAAAATGTGTGTCTTCTTGTAAATCTGATTTTAGATGCTTTATCCTCTGAATTCCACTCCACAAGTTCAACCAGTGAAAGTCCACTAACAAAAGAACAATGGGAAAAAAGTGAACAGAAGACAAAGATTATGGAGATGGCAAAATTGGAAGGTGAAAAAGAAATTAAAAACTTGTACTAATTTATTATGAAAAGTTTTTGTGAACAGTGATAACAATTATGTGATAAATCTTTGAAGAATAATTTCAGTGCAATAATGTGGCATCAATAATTTAATATAATTGTGCACAGTTCCACTTATGGGAACTAAACATTTGTAGAGAAGCTGTGAATGTTAATCTCTCCATTTTTACCTTGACACTGTATGTGGAAATACAGAAACCTTTTGTAAAAGACTAAAGGCAGGTACATGTAGGTAACATGCTATCATTGCATGCATGCTAGATTGCATGATTTATTTCTGTAAATGTTTTGATATGGATAAACTAGCAGTAATAGTTCCCTTTCAGTCACCATTAACTTTTTCCCACTTTCTTCCGTCTTGCAAATACACGTATGAAATTTGTCATGTTAAAAAAATTTTGTGTACTGGGTACTATTTAATTGGAAGATTGGTGTGCGATTTCAGGTTTTAGGAGAAGGAACACTGGTATAGAAGCCCTCTAATATCGATGACCTGCAAGCAGACTATTATCCAATATGTTTGAAGTTTAATGTGATTTTAATGGTTTCAAGTGCAGCTGAAGCACAATTTTAACTTGGACACTTTGCTCCAAATCAACAGATCAGAAATTAAACATAAAAATTGATGTGGAACATATGAAATGTGCAGATCAAGATGCTTATAGTACAGCTTCAGTTTTAGCTTTGGAGCCAGCAGGATATCAGAAGGCATCCACAGCTTCAGGCCCAAAGAGAAAAACAGAATCTGATGCAGATTTAGAAGATCTCCAACCACTCAAAAAGAAAGTATTGTGCTTAATTGCCATGAATTACCTTGATACTACACCAGCACAGAGCAGGGATGAACACAATGAGTTTAAGGAATACTTACAAGAAATGAAGGTCTTCATTACAGGTGTTTCTATGGAAAGGTTGGTGATAACAGTAAAGTGTGATTCTCTCTCGAGCTTGGATGAATTATGGGAAGATTACTCTTGTGGCCTTTTGGATAAGATGGTACGAGATTGTTTTGTAACTGAAAAGATCTTGAAGGAACTTAACCTGGTAGAGCTGAAGCTGAAAACAACAATGGACACAGAAGAGTACAATGCATACAAACTGTACTTTCTTGAGAAGGATGCACTCAGAGGTCAGTTGAAAGAAAGAAAAAGGCCTGGTCTTTCAGAAAAATGTTTTGAAATGATTAAAAACACAATGCATCACTCATTCAACATGGTGCACCATAGGGTTAACAGAGGTGTAGAGGGGGTCCAGGTTTTGACCAAGATATTCAACCAATTGTTTCATGACTAAGCTCATACTTACTATGTATACAATGACAATCTGCAGCTAGAAGTGATTTGTTTTCAAGAAATTTCCCAGTATATTTTCCTTTCTGTCTGCTTGTATTTATCTTTGGCTCCAAATATAAACAAAATAAAACAAGCTAAAATAAAAATTGGCAAGATTTTAGTTGGAGAAGCTATAAAAGAAAATGTTACTTGTATTTGTGTGTGGGGTTTTTATAAAAATGATTTGAGGTGTGTTGTATGGTTTTGAATGTCAGTATTTAGTGATTGCCCCATTATTTGTTTTCTTTTAAATCTGATTTTAGGTGCCTCATCTTCTGAATTCAACTCAATAAGTTCAACCAGTGAAAGTCCACAAAATCAAGAAGAGCTGAAAAAATGGAAACAGAAGACAAAGATTGTTGAGACAGAGAAACTGAAAGGTGAAAACAAAATTAAAAGATGTATTAAGTTATTATGGAAAGTTTTTGTGAACAGTAATAACAATTTATTATTTGACAAAGCTTTGAAGAATTATCTCAATGCAGTAATGCGGTGTTAGTATTATTTTAAGAGTACAACTTATGGGGAACAACTTACAGCGCATCTGAAGAGAGGCTTTGAATGCTGATCTCTCCCTGTACTTTTTGTTCTTAGCTACTTCACCCCTCACTGTAAAACCCAGCACTGGTCATGGAAAAGAACTTATAGGAAAAGCAAAGAGAAGGAAAGGTGAACAGGAAGCTCAGTTTGAATTAATATCTGTAGTGAATGTGTCCCTTGTGTTCAGTTATTATGTCAAGTGTAAAAAAGTGTGCTTTTGGGATCAAACGTTTAAGGTTGTAAGGGTCTTTAGGGTAAAACTAACCTGACAATTATTTGAAATACTCTCAGTTCTTCATAAAAAAGATTAATTTGAAAGAAATTAAAACCCAATTTAGCTTTCCCTAAATTTTGTATCTAGGATAAATTTCATGCACTTTATAGAGATGGTCACATGACTTGTTGGTTTGCCGTGTTATCATCTCTCAAATGAAAGTAACACCTTGAATACTAATATTGCTGTAAATAATGTAAAATGCATAAATGTAATGCTAGAAATGCTAATTCTCAGTACAACTTTGTTTTTAGGCATGCTGCCTCTTCATGGATCTTACACCTCCAATCCTGAAGAAGAACTAGAAGAGCTACGTATGAAACTTCAAAGTATGAAAGGTGAATGAAAAAATACTATTAAATTGACTTTTTTGATAAAACTAAACCAAGAATGTTATCAAATACATTTAGTTCTCAATTAAAATATTTTTTTTTAGGAAATTTTACCCAATTTAGTTTTCAATCACTCTGTGTTTTGCTGTAAGGGAATATTAAGATGGTAGAGGCTAAGGATGGTGAAATAGTATATAATGATAAACTAAGTGTTGATCTTAAATTATGCTTTAAAAACTGACAATGATACAGTTAAGATAGATTTTGTACACAGTATGTAATCTATTAATTACATGTTGGTTTGACCTGTTATCATGTTGCTATTAAAAGTAACAACATGAATTGTTTCTTTGTACTTTTCCCCTTAAGGTTGACTCCCATCACTGTGGACACCCTCAGGGGGAGATTTAGTGTCTGTAATAGCAAAAAGTTTGTAATAATGGGGTACAAGAGAAATAAACATTTGTTTTGTTTCTTAACATATGAAATAAAGTTTCTACAAACCAGAAAAAGATCTGGCTGTGAGCAGAAAATTTCATATGTTCATACCCAATTGAAGAATGGTTACTTTATTTTCCTTCATAATGTCGGTCATGCCGGATAGTCATGATTTTGGACAGAGTAAATAAGTGTCTGTTACAACAAGAGAAAAAACAAGTGAAAAGTCATGCTGGGGGGCAGGAAAGAGTCTGCATTATTGCAATAGCAAGAGTCAGGTATAGAGGGAATTTATTTCAGTCATTTCTGTATGTGTTTCTCCAGGGGCTGGCTCTTGTCTGCAGTGGCAAGGTGTCTGTAATAGTGAGGTGACCATGTGCAGGGCTAGAGTCAACTGTAGATTAATCCAAATTTGGCATTGTTTCATTCTCTACTTTAGCTAAAGATGGTATTGAGTTGGCATGTAGTAAAAATACATAATAGTTGTTTTCAACAATGATCATTGGAGTTATAATGGAGAACTAAGACTATTTTACTTTAACAAGACTATAATTTGCTGTTTGCACAGGTATAACTGTTGTTATCTTTTCTGTGTAAAGTAAGAGACTGAATTTTGAAAAGATTTGTATACCTTTGCTCCCAGGTTCTTCATCTCCTCCTCTTCTCTCCACCACTGATCTTGAAGAAAAGCTGAGGAGAGTATGTGTGAACCTTAAGATGCTTAGAGTGGAAGGTGAATAGAAAAATTCATTTCCTATCATTTTTAGGGAGAAACTGATCCAAGAATGCTGTCCATAAAGTTTGCCTAGGTTTAAATGAGCTAACATATTGAATAGGTAAAAACCAAACATTTTCAACACCAGGTCATCATCACCCCGATGATGACCTAGTGTTGAAAATGTTTGGTTTTTATTACTTTTTAAAAATATTTTAGCCATGTAAATAGCTCAATGCCTTTGAATATTTTCACCTTTTTTTTCTAGTAAATACTTTAGAGAGAAATTATTCCTTATCTGAGATATTAACCTTTTCCTGTCTTTATTTTCATCTAAGAATACTGTTAAATGCTCTCAGCTTTTATCCAGTAACTTGGTTTAGTTAAGGAACATATTTTCAATTCAGTTTTATCTCTAAATCCATAATATCAGTCAAAGGTAGTATTGAATTGGCTGTGGCATGTGATAATGAAACAATACTTAAAGATACCTAATTTCATTGTTCTCTCTCTTGACCTCAATAGATGTTATTATGCCTTTACTTTTTATATCAGGTGTGGCACTTAGTGCTAAATATATTTCCTTGTACCTTTGCTCTCAGGTGGTTTTCCTGTCCTTCAATTTTCAACCATTGATCTTGAGAAAAAACTAGATGAACTATGCATTAAGTTTCAGAGGCTCAGAATGAAAGGTGAATATAAAATGTTTATTGATTCATTATCA